GGGGGAACTCTTGTAAATAATAATTTAATATATTAAAATATTAGCAAGAAGAGAACATGTTTACCTGGACTGCAATCTGTGCATAACTCTCTGTCTGGTAATCCCGGCAAATCTGAGAAGGTTCCTGGAGGGCATGGATCAGGGATGTCTGTACCATTAGGACAGTAGTAGCCAGCCCAGCATACGTCACCATAAGGCTTACCTACAGGTGCAGGTTCTTCAGAAGAACCAGAGCAGTAGAAACCTTGTAAAGAAGTAACAGAATTATTACGACATCAATTTTAAATACATTGGTTGGTTACTTTAGTAACATAAATAGCTTCTAGGAATAAGTAACAAAATACAGCCAACCACTAGGATGAGATAAAACTTAATTGTTATTATATCAATCAAAGATATTGTATTCATAACTTTTACTTCAATGAATATATCTGTAGAATAAAAACAAGATTTTAATTATTTGTTTATAAACTGCAGAAATCTATTTCGACTAGAATTTGTGAATCTTTAATATAAAAAACAATACAGCAATAGTATTAAGATTAACTCTTGGTACTTACCTGCCCAGCAGGTTCCAGATTCTACCGTAAGGCCAGTTGAAGTGCAGTAGTAGCCTGCAGTACAGTTCCAACATTCCCCTGCATCAGTCAGTCCAAGCTGCTTACTAAAGGTTCCCTTAGGGCATCCCTGTCCTACAATGCTGCCAGAAACACAGTACAGGCCCTCTGGGCATTCATCCCCTGTGACTCCATCTGTTGGAGTGGCACTAGATGATCCTTCTGTGCAGTAGAAGCCAGCATCACACACATCAAAAGGCTTTGTGTTTCCTGTTAATTAAATGTTATATTTAAATGTTTAAAAATAATGTTAGTGATTAAATATCAATCTGTTCAAAATGCAAATGAATAATTTTGTTGATTTTTAGCTTGTTGAGCTTACCTTCACCTGGGCAGTACATGCCAGGCTCACATGGTGTGCACTGTGTAGCATTGTGTAGTCCCGTAATATTACTATATGTTCCTGCAGGGCATAGGTACTGTGTACCAAACTCCGTTTTCTCTGGACAGTACGATCCTGCTGGGCAAACGCTCGGGATGGAGACACCACGGTAGCTACGATAACGACCTGAAAAGTTCCCACTTTCTGTGATGTTTTCTGCATCTAATAGTTCATAATCACCTAAGAGTAAAATAAAACAAATAATAAATTTGATGTAAATACAGTAATTATACACCTGTATTTAGCAGAGGAGTATATCTGTTTCATTAACTTACCAAATGCTTTGCAGTATGACCCTGCAGGGCAAGGGTCACAGTCATACTGGCCCCAGTGTGGTTGATACCAGCCACTTGGACAGCCAGTTTGGTTCCAGCTACCCAATTCACAGAAATGACCAGGACTACAGGCTAGATCAGTTGGCTCGTAAGTGTCTTGGCCACCTGGACAGTAGTAGCCTGGTGCACAAAGGTTAGTTGGTAATGACAGTCCGTAGCCTTCACAGTAAGATCCAGCAGTACACTCCAAACAATCAGTAATGTTCACATTTTGCTCATTTCCTAAAAAATGAATGGACATATAAAAAGTATAAAGATTAATAAGGTTATTATCAGTGATTATAAAACAAACACTTGGTGATTTATTAAATTATAATAAATCACCAAGAAAATACATAAAAAACTTTGGACTTGCCAGGTTGCAAGAAAACAGAATAGAGGTGTTTGCTTTTACTAACCTGAGAAAGTACCAGGTGGACAGGGTTCTTGTACTTCAGTTCCTTTTGGACAATAATGACCTGTGATGCAAGGGACTGGGTCCTGAACTTCAGCACTTCCATTGCAAAAGAACCCAGCTATGCAATCACCGCTTGTTGACGAAAGAGCATAGTTCCCACAGTACTGACCGAGTGGACAGGGAATTGGCTGGTCAGAACCAGATGGACAATAAGTACCTAAAAATAATATTTAAAAATGTTGTATTCAACATTCAGTTATTTACAAGTTTTAATAAGAGGTCTTTAAATGAAAATGAAAAACAAAGAAAAAATTGAAACTTGGAATTTATTGGTTATTATTTATTTAATTTAAAGGATTTATATAGCACACATATCCACATAACTTCTCAGCACCTTTTCCTGGTCATTGGATGCAGAATCATACACAACATGCAACCTCCTCCACTCCCCGAGGAGTATTCCTTGTTATGCATATAATCAGCTCACTACTAACTTCATTCGGAATCATTCACCTCCTACCAGGTACCATTTATACCAGAGAGGCAAAGTGTTTTGCCCAAGGACACAAGTAGTGTGACGAGCATTGGTCTTGACCCCCCGACCTTCCAATTGAAAGTCCAACGCTTTACACGTTGCGCCACACGCTTCTAGGAGTTTATGCCAGTATGTATCTCACTCACAGACATGGACATTTACCTGGGGTGCAAATGCCTCCGGTTTCATTTCTGGAGTAAATTGGACATTCGGTAGCGGAGTAATCATTGGTGTCATTCACATAAGGTGTAGGTTTATTGGTGTATGCACCACGAGAACAATACCACCCTGGTGCACAGTCGCCACTTGGTTCAGGAAGACCATCACCGTCGCAAAACTTGCCAGCTGAACAAACAAGCAAGAAAAACGCTACTTAGTTCATTTACTTGAGATTCTATCACCATAATTAATTGTTGTAGTTTATCAGTTTTATCTGTTGTATTTGTAGTATAGTATTGGTTTTATACGAGAAAATATTTAATGTATGCCAAAATATCTTTGTGTTTTTGAAGTTTATATTTTTATCAATATTATCATCATTGTCCTAATATTTAGATTATTCAGTATAATGCTCATTTATGCAATCAAAATGACAGCATGTGACATACTGTTCATCCAATCACAATCACTCACCTGGACATGGCAGACAATCAAAGACATCATTGCCATGAGTCCTGTTATTATAAGTGCCAGCAGGGCATGGATACTGAGTAGGATAGCCAGTACCCTGAGGGCAGTAGTAGCCTGAAACATAAGACAATATAACTGATCAACTAGAATGTTCTTGATCGCTTTAAGATAAATGTAAAACAGATTCTTCAAAGGTTAGCTTAAATAAGATGTGATAAATCTGTAAATTGGTGGCTAAGGTACTCATGCTTGCCATTGAACTCCAAAGCCCTTGGTTTTCTAGTAGACAATGAATTTTAATGTTATTAATGACTCTTGAAGGCACAGGTCAGCCTCAACAGTATAAGGGAGATTTTATGAGCAAGCAGTACTGAAAATCAACAGCCTACCCTATTTAAAAATTCTGATAAAGTATCAGTGAAATGTCATGTAAGTTATACAATTTTTTTGAATCACAAAAACACCACAATAATATTTCATAGCAAATAAAAAATAATTATTCTTAAAAGGAAAGAGTACCTGTCCAGCATGGAGTGTCACTGTAAGTTGATGAGTTTGCTATGCAGTAGTAACCAGCTTGACAAGCCTGGCATTCTGGTTGACGTACACGATCATTGAAAGTTCCATTGGGGCATCCAATTGGTTCTGGTGTTGCACCTGGACAATATGTGCCTTCGGGACAAGGGCCTAACAATATAAGATCAAAGTATTTTCAAAATTTAGTTTCAAATTCTAGTTCTGCTTATATACCTGAATAATGCTGTATATAGATCAATTTTACACAATAATAAAAAAATAATAAAAATAAAAAAATAATCATGGTAATAAAAAATATAAATAGTAACAGTAACATTTTACCTCCAATTCCAGTGTTGTTGTTATCAGGGGCAGGAGTGTTAACTCCAATCAAGCAATAGTAGCCTGGAGAGCATGCATCTGAGACAGTGGTGCGACCAACATCACTGCAATAGTAACCAGGATCACAGTCTGTGCATTCAGAAGAATCTGCCAAGCCTTTCACAGGTCCATAAGTTCCAATTGGACAAGATTCATTCACGAATCCAGTTCCTGGTGGACAGAAGTTACCTTCAGGACACAATGTCGGTGTTATGCAGGAGTCGATGCAGAAGTGACGTGCAGGGCACAGGTCACAGGCGTTTGCACGGGTGTGATTCATGTAGAATCCATCATCGCATGGAGCTTCAGCACTGCTACCTTGAATACAGTAGTGGCCTGGTGGGCATTCATTGCCAGTGATGCCGTCAGTTGGTGAACTGTTGTTAGCTCCTGCTACGCAGAAGAACCCTGGGTCGCACTCATCTTGAAGAGTATAAATAATAAAAACATTATTTCGTAAGTATATACTGATATTATTATTTTTCAGTGGTGTTAGTACATGTGCAATTGTTGATATATTCTGGAATGTATTCACAAATTATAACAAGTCTTTTCTTACCTGTATAATTTACTTGACCTTGTGTGTCGCAGTATTTACCGCCTTCACAGAGTAAACAATCTTGAAGGTCATCACGGCCAGTAGTTGGATTATAAGTACCGATGGGACAAAGGAATGGATCATAGGTTCCATTAGGACAGAAACTTCCAGCTGGGCATACATCGCCATATGCTTCGGCATTTGGGTTGGGGTTAATAGCTCCGAGGGTGCAGTAAAAACCTGAGTAGCATTCCCCTGTAGGCTCAGTCAAGCCTGTAATAAAATTAGTTAATGTAAATAATTTTAATTATATTTTAGATATTAACAAAATTATTTTCTATTATACTTTTGATTTATTATAATGTTTTTAAACATATCTACTCATTCATTCATTCATTCTATATTTATTGTCATTGCATAACTTTAGAAATACTGTGAAATTGAGTTGGCTCCTGCAAAGCAAGATAGAAAAGTCAGATTGGTTGCAATGTAAGTCCCTTTGATGGATGGATGGATGTATTTATTCGGTGTAAAAAACCAAGGATAACCCACGATATCTGAAGACTTACTTCCAGTGGGGTCCTTCTCATTCTCTCTAGATTGTAAAATAATCAATAATATTAGAGTTCATATATTCTAGGCATTTACAGCCTTATACAGTACCTTCTGTTTGACAAAAGCTGCCTGGAGTACAGTCCTGACATTCTGTTACATTTTCCAATCCATACTGATTATTCAAGGTTCCAACTGGACACTTGACTCCCTGGTCAGATCCCTTAGGACAATAGTAGCCAGGAAGACACTCGTAACCAGTCACTCCGTCTGTTGGCTGTGAATTGTTGGCGGCTGATACGCAGACGTAACCAGCATTGCATTCATCACTATAAGCTGTCAAACCTAGAATATGGAAACAAAAAATAATAGGTTTGTGGTTAGTAAGGAGCTCTTGGCCTACTGGTTAAATAGATGTAAGTAACACACATGAATATTCATACTTTTACGAAGACACTAATAATATTAGTAACTGCATGTATTAGTTGTTAATTTCTTCATAAAGCTCTGTCCACACTATCAAATTTAGCGTAAAGAAAGCTTAAGTTTACTTGAGAGGGAAGAGTGTTACCTTTGCCATCGCAATACTTTCCCCCAGGGCAGGGTTGACATTGGCCATGGTAATGCAGATTGAGTACACTGCTGTAGTATCCTTCCAAGCATGGGTATTGATGCTTGGACTCTGTACCATTAGGACAGTAGTAGCCAGCAGGGCAATCTGTTGGTATGACGACGCCATGACTTGTTTCATTGTAGTATTCTGCAGCTTCCACAGGATCACAATAGCTATGATGAAGAAGAGACAAATTCAATATGGCTACGATTGCTACTCTACGCTGCTGTTGCTATTGCTGCATTAGACCCTGCTGGAACTAATGGTGCTTCTGCAACTGGATGAATACTGGTGCTGATTCTGCTGCTCCATAAATATTGGTGCTACAAATTATGCTACAATACATCTGTTAATGATATTGTATGACTGATATTGTATTGTATGATTTATATTTCTACTCTACTACCCCTGCTGCTTCTGCCACCTTATAACATGTCTGCTACAGTGTGATTGATTTTGCCACTGCTGCTTCTGCTATTCTATCACTGATGCTACTGCTTTTGCTACTCTATGACTGCTTCTGAAGCTACTCTGTAACTACAGCTGCTGCTGCAACTACTTTTAATTACTACTAGAGGGCAATATCATTTTTTTTTGTTTTAACTTATTAAGTTGTGTACTTACTAAGACGTTGGGCATTCCTTGCAATCAGCAGTTCCAACCTCATCCTGATATGTGCCAGGTGGACAGGGTTCTGGCAGATCATTTCCACCATCACAGAAGTGACCAATAGTACAATTGTATTCAGCTGGTGATGCAGCTGATTGGCCACCTGGGCAGTAGTAACCTGGGTTACAATCTCCATCTGGGATGACATTTTCTGGACCAGAGCAATATTTACCAGGGGTACAAGAAAGGCAGTCTTCAGGTTGAATGTTACCAGATGTATTAGCAAATGTACCACTAGGACAAGCAGTTGGTGTAGCTGAGCCCACCTCGCAGTAGGTACCTTGAGGACATACGCCTTCTGCTGGGTCTGGTTCTGATGCCCCACCATCACAATAGAAACCTAAAAAAATGATTCCACCAATAAGAAATACATCATTTGGTTTATGCTTTTTACCATCAGGATATGAACCCTCAATGGATGTACTATTAATAAACATTTGAAATATGTGCAAAGTATGTACTTACCAGCATCACACTGGTCATTGGGATCAGGTCTTCCATATTCTTTACAGTAATAACCTTCATCACATGACACAGGATATGGGCTTCCACTTGGGCAATAGGTGCCTGGCCAGCATTTTCCACCTGTAATGCAACATTATTAAAAAAATAACAAGCAAAACAACTCCATTTTATAGTGACTTAGTTGTCAGAGCTAATGTAGTTGCAAACGGATAGCAACTTATTCTTCTACTTTTGTAAAGCAATTGTGTAAATATAAATTCATTAACTCACCTGTGTAATTTGCCAATGGACAGGAGCATTCTGACAATAGTGTAGCATTTGCCGTTGTTAGTGGCATGGCCTGGTATGAGCCACTTGTACAGTACCATCCAGCTGAGCAATTACCGGATGGGGCATCTTGACCATCAACTAATGGACAATTAAAACATACGGCATTAGAAAAACCTCCAACAAAAATTAACTTAAGGATATGATATTCCAAAATTAGAAACAGAATACAGAGGTACCTATTTTTGAAAGTTGCTCACCTCAGGCCCGATCATAATTGCAAAGAATAAAACATAACAATCCAAGAATCTTCTTGTAAAGAAATTAAGCACAATTCTTGATTCTGAAAGCATGTTGCTTATCGTAGCTAATCCTTTAGCACAAAAGGGAGCTCCTTTTGTGCTAAACACTGTTGAATAGGGAATGAGGACTACTATTAGGCAGACGGTTCGTATGTGGCGCCCTGGGTCAGACTGTTCTAATTTTTTTCAAAGGGGTGTTCAGTTTCGGAAACAATGCCAAGTATTCACGAAAAAGACTTGCGAAACCTTGGTTTTTATATACATATATACATAAAAATTAAATTGCAGACTTACATTCACAGTACATTCCAGGTGGACAGGAGAGGCAATCTTGGATGTCGTCACTTCCATTGACAGGATTATAGGAACCCTTAGGGCAAGGGTACTCATATGGATGTGTAGTCTCCAGGGGACAATAATAGCCTAGGATTAAAAAAAAGAAACATTTACAGTTCTGACTAACATGAACTGTGATGGATGGTTCTAATATTCTGAAGGGGTGCTCTAGGTTATGAAACAATGGAAATTTCCAGGTATTCATGAAATTTTGGCGAAAAAAATAATTTTTTTTCCCTGTGAATATATTTAAATTATTTACGTGTATACATAAATGGTACTATGTTATGTAGAAGTCTTTTAGTATTTAACATAAAAAATAATGAGAACAAAAACTGATACATGTTTATCGTAAAAAAAACTTACCAGCTGGACAACTGTTTTCTGCGAAGGATGTTGAATTTTGTAGACAATAATGGCCAGCAGGACATGGTGTACAAAGAGCTTGATTCTCAATAGCAGTGTAGTGACCAGCTGGACATCCAAGTGGAACAGCACTACCTTCTGGACAATAGTGCCCAGGTGGACATATACCTCCCATACCTGTATGGTTACCTGTGGGCTTGTCTATGTTAACACCTGAAAATTAACAGTTGAAATTATGATTTGAATTTTGATTGATTTCAGCAATGATTTGGCTATTTTTTAATGCTTTACTCAAAATAATACAAGACAAAAAATATTTTTCTGTAAGCTCCATTTTACTAAAAAGTGAAAAGTGAATGAGAATGTCTATGGTTTCTGCCACAACTATCAACAGATTGACAATTTCAATATTAGAGGTTAAATACTGCAAAAACAAATTTTCTCAAAACATAAATTAAACATAGTTATTTATTTCATGATGAATGTTTATATTCATTGGATCACAAATTAACTAACAATCACTCTCTTCTTTATCATATGAATGAACTGAATCAGAAAAATGATTCCTTCTTACCCCATTCACAATAGTAGCCAGCACTACAGTTTCCTGTTACGTTCGCCTGTCCAGGTTCAAGACAATAACTGCCTGGATCACACTGTAGGCACTGATCCTCCTCATATATACCCTCTCTTGGATTGTATGTTCCACTGGGGCACATACGCAAGTCAGCACCTGTCTTGGGTGGACAGTAGTAGCCCAGTGGACATGGGTCAGCACGATCGCGATTAACACAATAGTATCCTTAAAAATAATACCAATAATAAATTTATAAAAATGTATACCTGTAAATTCTTAGAATTGCAGGGCACTGAAGGTATGAGATAATAAGGCAATACATAAAACACATGAACAGAAAGCAGAAAAATGATAATGAGTAACTTTCTGTTTTATCGATGTTTTTTTTTTTTTTTATAAACACCATAAAATAATAATTTAGCAAAAGGAAATTGAGTCTTTCAATAGCTTTTAAGTAACAGATTGAAATTGTGCAAGTGTGAAATATTGTCGGCTTTACATATGCCTACACTTTTAAAACTTCTATTTATAATAACATAACTTTAGTGCTTACCTGCAGGGCAATCATAACACTCTGCCCCCATTGTATGGTTCATGAATGTGCCGTTTGGACAAGGCACTGGGGCAGGCGATCCAAGTTCACAGTAATGGCCTTCTGGGCAGATATTTCCCGTCACATTGTCTTGAGGAGCTGGGTTGCTAGATCCAAGTGTGCAGTAAAATCCCTCATAACAAAAACCTATACAATGTTAAAAAGATGCAAATGATTATAAAAAAAAATATCATTGATTGTCATAAACAAAAACAAATCATTTTCAAGAACAAAGCTGGTAAGTTTTAAAAGATATACCTGATTAAATTTCCAAGCCACTATTGTTGCAATATTACATATCTGATTTAATTTCCAAGTCACTATTGTTGCAATAGAACATACCCGATTTAATTTCCAAGCCACTATTGTTGCAATAGTACATACTTGGAAATTGAATCAGGTATGTACTATTGTTGCAATAGAGCATAGCTGATTTAATTTCCAATCCACTACTGTTGCAATGCACATACCTGATTCAATGTCCAAGCCACTATTGTTGCAATATTTTCCGGGAGTACAATCAAGACAAGCTGCTTCATCGGTCATCATCTCATTGGGTTGGTAAGTGCCAGCGACACAAGCTGTTGGATTAGGGCTTGCCTCTGGACAGTAGTGACCAACTGGACACACAGCTCCATAAGTCTCATTGTAGGGATTTGGTTCAATTGCTCGCAAGGTACAGTAGAAACCTTGTTTTAAGAGAAAAGTTTACATTTATTAAAAAAACAATTAAATTTTAACCATGTTTAAATGAATCAATAGAGAAATAAAAATATATTAATTTATTTTTGGATATATAAAGAGAAAACAACACAAACCATTAAGAAATATTGATATAAATACAATATTGTAATATCAACAGTAAAAATTATACAAAATGATTGGTGATGTTGTTAGTCTATGAATGAAGTAATTGAATAAACAGAGAACTGCTCTTTTTTTTAAGTTCTTTTCAAGTAACACCACTTAAAAGAAATGGATACATCCATCCCAGCAAACACTCTACATAGTGCTATCTTCCTCATTTACAACTGACAACTTATCCAGGTAACTATGCAGACAATATACTGATTGAAGTTTAAACAAATGACAATAAATAACATACCAGGAAGACAAGATCCATTAGGTGATGTTAAACCAGTCTCCATACAAAACTGTCCAGGGTAACAGTCAGTACAATTACCCTCTGAGCCTAACTTTGATGAGCCACCAAAAGTCCCCTTGGGACATGGGGTTGGCCATGAGGAGCCTGAGTCGCAGTATGTCCCTTGTGGGCAGGGACCTCCAGTTTCATCAGCAGGGTCAGGTGTTGGAGTGTTTGCCCCAAGCACACAGTAGTGTCCCGGAGAACACTTGTCAGTCGGTGTGGTGATATTTTCAGCTTCACAATAGAACCCTAGATAAAAAGTATATATTTTAGTAACTGAGGTACATCAGAACTCAGTACATAATAAAATAAAAAATAGTATGTTAATAAGTTATCAGACTGAGTAAGATAAAATGTTAATGAATAACAATTGCTAATTAATGTTTTTATTCATATAACAGTATACCTGGAAATAAATACAGACATTCTCAACAAAACAACAATTCTTTTCAAAACTATCTATGTTGTGTACCACAAGCATTTAATATATTATTTCTTCCCTATCCAAACCTCATACAATATATAAATTATTACCACAGATTTTGGATATTTCATATAAAGTTCATTTAATATATTTACAACATCCAAGTAATAGGAAAGAATCTATGCAAATTAAACAAAGAATAAATAATTAAACATACTTCTATGAATTATACAGTACATCTTAAAATTGCTTTCCAAGAGTTGATAAAATATACAAATAGTTTTCAGTCAAAAAATGTACAATTTATACATAATTTAAAGTTTTACCATTTAAGTTTGAATGTTGAAGGATGCCCCCCACCAAAAAAATAAAAAACACAATGACTAATGTTACCTTGAGGGCAGACTCTACATTCAGTGATATTTTCCAAGTTGGTGGTATTGCTGTAAGTGCCAACAGGACATGGATATTGGCGAGCTGTCTCAGTTCCATTAGGACAGTAGAAACCTGTATGGAAAAATATGATAAAAAAAGTCACTGCATGACACAATATAAACATCTTCTATACAAGTCCAAATATAGTCATGCAAACGTTTTTTAAATAAATAACCAACATTTAAATTAATTTAAAATTAAAATGAAAAGAAAAATTAATACATTTTAGTTAATTCTGCAATGTGAACTTTCTTAATAAATCAGATGAAAAATAAATAAAATTAAGATAGTATAGGAAGAAGATTATCTAACAGGGATGATTAAAGATAGTAAAAAACATAATAAATGCATCTTAAAGATGATGACTCTTACCTGCTGGGCAATCTTTGGGGGTAACTACACCATGTGTGTCTGTGATCCCGCTCTGCATCTCATCAATAGCCTCATTTTGATCACAGTACGAACCTGAAACAAGTAATTTATAAATTGATACAGAAAAGCTTAGAGAGAACATTCATATATACAAAATAAATTGTAGGACTACATTATATTAAAGTTGAACTTGGGTATTATTTCAACTCCATCTAAATAAAAATGTGGACATGTTGTCCAACTTATATAACTAACTTTTTTATGTGACCCAACAAAAAAATGTGTACTTACCAGCAGGGCAGTCATAGCACTCGCCTTGGCCAGGGAATGGCTGGTAGGTGCCTGAAAGGCAAGCAGTCTCGTCAGGGCTACCACGCGGACACTGGTGACCAGCTAGGCACTGATTTCCTGGTGGTTGAGCATCATTGGAGCCCTCAGGACAAAACCATCCTTCATCGCAGTAGTCGTTCGGTTCCACTCTTCCCCAACCTGTACAGTATTTACCGGCTGTGCATGGTATGCAGTCATTAGCGTTGTGATTTTCAAATGTATCACTGTATGTTCCTGGGGGTTGTGATAACATTATTAATGAAAAGAAGTAATAGTAAACATAATAATTTATCTATCATTATATATAAAGAAGAAACAGCTTTCAAAAGTATATAAGTCTGTTTTCTTGTTTGTAACAAATATAAACTCAATCATAATTTGCTGCTTACCTGGAGCACAAGCCTGAGGACTGGAGCTTCCTTCAGGACAGTAGTATCCTTGTGGACAAATGTTGCCAGTGATATTGTTGACAGGATTTGGTAGTATGGTACTCCCGCTGCAGTAGAAACCAGCCTGACACAGTCCAGATACATTTGCCAGCTCATCATATTGACAGAAATAGCCTATAATTACAATAAAACATTATTACATATAGTATATACATTATAATTACTTCTCAATCTGACACTTAGTATCTTGGTAGTCAGCTTCCTCATCATCCATATAATTGCTGAAGAAGGCTGCTGAGAGTTTCCTTTGACTGGGTCACTGTCTTATTGTTTATTTTCATTAGTATTTAAGTCACAGCCATGCATGATAATAATATTGATGATGATGGGAAGATGGATAATAATAATAATTGCAGTGAATGTACATAATGCAGTGTGGGATGCTCATATAAAAGGCAAATGGAAATTAGTCAATTTATCCAGGTAATTAGATTTTAGTAAACATTTTTATGAGCATAACAAATGCAATTGATTATGACCTAATATCTTTGTATTATTTTAATCAACCTATTTACCTGGGTCACATGGTATGGGCTGGTCAGATCCTGCTGGACAGTAAGTACCAGCTAAGCACCTTCCACCAGTGCTCTCAGCCGGACAATGGCAACCAGAATCTTGGGAAAAAAGCACATGGTTGAAAAACCAATTTTAAACAAGAAATTTAAAATTTTTAAACTTTTTTGATAAAATCCACTTCCTAAATCTTGTAATGAGATTTTTATGAGTTCCTTGAACTAGTTGACATGGGCTGGAAATGTCGCCCTCTATAAACATAGTGGAATGCTGTCTCACCTGTATCATTCCCCAATGTTGTCGGCATATCTTTCCATGCTCCTATGGTACAGTACCACCCCTCAGCACACAAACCTTCTGGTTCAACCATCCCTTGGTATGGGCAATAATGACCACCTATACACAGCTCACAGTCATCAACGCTTTTTCCTCCGGTGTAGTTGTTGAATGTCCCATTGTTGCAAGGGAATTGAGTTTCAAATCCAGTATTATTTGGACAAAAGTGGCCTACAGTGAATCAAAACAACATTATGTAACATTAACAGCATTATTTAGAAATACATACAAACATTAACAACACGAATACATGGCATGATTGGTATATATTATTGAAAGACATGCAGGAAACAAAAATAATAATGATAAATTAATAACGCTTACTCTAAAACTAAAAAACAATTTTTTTAATGATTCAATAATTCATATACTCTATAATTTCATTTGTGTTTTACTGACAATATGAAATATCGATTATTTAATTTTTAATTTTAATACAACAACCGGTTTGAATACTTTTTAAATAGCAGAAATTACATATATTTCAATGTTATTTTAGGTAAATTAACGATATCAAAATCCTGTATACCTTTTGGGCAACTGGTATGATCCGTACTACCGGTGTTACAAAATGACCCTTCAGGACAATCAATGCATTCACTCTGCATATACACTGGGTTGTAATAGCCAGGCAGACAATCTGTAGGCTCATTTGAACCGCTCATGCAGAATGTTCCAGGAGGACAGGGCCCTCCAGAACTGGAGACTGTTCCAGGATTGGAGCTGTTTGAGCCACCCCGACAGTAGAATCCTTCATCACAAAATCCTTTTGGATATGACAAGCCAGGGGTATCGCAATACATGCCTACAAGAAGAAAATATAAAAAAATTATTAAGAATATAATTTAAGAAATTTTAATTAAATGTGATTAGATGATAAGTTGACATAAATGGATATTGTTGTCGAAGTAAAGATAAGTACGAATACAAACATATAAAACATGGGTATTACCTTCAAGACAATCCTGACAATACTCCACTGCAGTGATTCCAGTCCTGTTGTTAAAGGTTGACACTGGACATGGATCTGGCTCCCCTGTGCCTTTAAAAAGAACACATGAAAAATGTACTTACATTTATTGAACACAACACTATTATGTATTTAAATTTATGAAATATATTTCAATTTCAGAAACAATTCAGGACTCATTCTAGAGGACAACTCACTGGCTTTGGAAAGTTTTACAGATTTTGGGTCAATCAGGCTTTGGATAACACTTACTGTTAAATACTGAATGCTAAAGATTGTCTTACCAACTTCACAATAATATCCAGCAGGACAGACTCCAGCATCACCAGATGAGGAATCTCCTGGTTGCTGGCTGTCAGATCCCAGGAGACAGTAGAAGCCAGGGTCACATGTGCCAGATACTGTAGTGGCATTGAAGCTGTCACAATAGAAGCCAGGGCTACACAATGTACACTGAGTCTCATTAGCTAAGCCAGTCATACTGCTAAAGGTGCCTGGGGGGCATGCTTCCCAAACATGTCCAGTTCCCTCTGGACAATAGTATCCTGCTGGACAATCCTACAATAACATAAATTAACAATATATGTCATACAACATATGAGCCAAATCACACATATTTGTCACTTAAAAATTGCTAGTGTGAACAGAGATTAACAAGGTTTATGTGACAAACCTCAGAGATTAACAAGATTTATGTGACAAGCCTTACAGAGATTAACAAGGTTTTTCTGACAAATATGTGTGATTTGTTAAATAAACCTTGCTAGTGTAGACAAAGATTAACAAGGTTTATGTGACAAATATGTGATTTTCACATAAACCTTGTTAATATCTATATATTTGTCACATAAACCTTGTTAATCTCTGTGCATTTGTCACATAAACCTTGTTTATCTTTGTCTACAAGAGTAAGGACATGTGACAATCACACATACTTTTCACATAAACCTTCCTAGTGTGGACATAGATTAACAAAAGATAATTAAGCTTTCAGCTAACTTAAATAGCACCAGTCTTTCAATGAATTCATAATTAGATACATGAGAAATTAATCACTGTCTTTTAAGAATAGGATATGCCTGTAAAGTTTTCTTACCTGTGGATTTGTACCTGTGATACAGTAATGTCCTGGTGTACATGGCAGGCATTGTTCATTGGTGGTAGTGTCGGTATAGGTGCCTGGGTCACACTGTAATGGGGCAGGAGATCCAGAGGGACAGTAATAGCCTACTGGACATTCATCACCTGTCAGGGAAACCATACATTCAATCATAATCATCAGATTTTTATGTAGAATAGATGCTATATTGAGATATAAAAGGTAAAATTTTGATTCTTTTCAAAAATGTATCACTTTAGACCACTTTGCAGTCACAGCAAAAAAGAAATGAGGATTTATAAATGGTGGTTAGCATAGATAAACACTGCCTTAAAATAGATAGTTCTACTATTGTGTAGGGGTGTTATATTTAAAGGCAATACAGTAGAACCCCTCTTTGGGACACCCTATTCTGGGGACACCCCTATTAAGGGATTGTTAAGTGACTAATGTTCTTTCTTACCAGTTATTCCATCCATTGGTGCAGGACTGGAAGCATTTTTAGAACAGTAGTAGCCCGGGTCACAGTCTCCTGCAGTGTGGTTCATACCATACTCTGGACAGTACTGACCAGGTTCACAACCAAGGCACTGCTCAATAGATTCAACACCTGACAATATTCAAATGTTATACAATATATCAAACATTGCGGTAAGACTTGTCTGATCTCCATCCATAAATCTCATTATTATTAACTGATATCTCAGGCTGTTACATTAGAAAATATTGTGTTAAAAATATATTGGAAGTGGAGTTCAATAACTTGCTGGTTAAGGTGCTTGCCTTCCAATCCCAGGGTCATGGATTCAATTTCTGTCTGTGTTGCAAGATTTTTTCTCACGAACAAAACAACTTCACTCCCTAAACTTCATATTGAGATTTAGTTTGTGTAAAGCATTGTGTGTGTATGTTTGTCTTGTGAAAGGCATTGTCACCTACAAGTAGGACAGTGATATATTCGCTAATTGACAATCCTTGGTGCATGTGTTGTGTGCCTAAATACATAAAAATAAATAAACAAACAAATACTTACCTTCGGTTGGGTTATATGTCCCAGGTGGGCATAAGTAGGTTTTATTAGATCCTTTTGGACAGTACGCTCCCTCTGGGCAAATGTTGCCTGTCACTCCATCTTCTGGGGTTGGCGAACTTGAGCCTAGCTTACAATAATACCTGTTAGGTAGAAAAAATTATTATTGATTTATAACATGTATAAAATTATATAGCTTAAATTATGGAAAAATACAGATGATAAGACTTGAGCCTAGCTTACAAAATTTTCTGAAATATATTTTTCCAAGATATTTGTTGAGGCCTTCAATTCCTTGTTTATGAGTTATAACAAGTCTACTAACATTACATTACATTTTAACAGAATAATATTATACTGTGTAATTTGTTACTCTTAACTAAACAGGCTAAACCGACATTTTTAAATAAATACAGTATAAATTTACCCTGCCAAGCACTCTGCCTTTGGTGCAGGTAGTCCGAGCTCATCACAGTACATTCCACCTGTACACAGTGTACACTCCTCAGCATCTTCAAGCTTAGTGTCATCCGAGTATGTACCCAAGGGACATCCAAACTCTGTGTCAAATTTTGTTCCGTTTGGACAGTAGTAGCCAACTGGACATGGTTGAGGGTTCTGTACACCGTGTGAACAGAATGTATCATTCTGGATGGTGCTGTCACAGTAATAGCCTGTGGGACACATCTTACAAGCTCTCTGAAACCATCAAATTACACAACTCAATATTCTGTCAGTGAGATACATACTAACTGCCTTTGTGCAAAAAACAGAACCCCATCAAATAGGGAATGAGAACTACTTGTTAGGGAGACAGTTCGAATGTGGTGCCCTGGGTTGGACTGTTCTATTTTAATTGAAGGGGTGTTCTGTTTTGGGAACAAAGACAATCAGATTATCCAGGTAAGTATTCACAAAATAGATTTAATAAACTTATATATATTTGGTCTCACCAGATTTACATACTTCAGGTTCAAAATCAAGAATATATTGAATGATTAAAGATTATCAGTTTAAATTAGAAATTTTGAACTATGCACCATTGAAAAAAAAAACATATGTGCTGTGTATAAATAAACTTAAGACCAATATCTGTAACTATTCAATAATATAATAGTAGGTCCTCTATATTTAGGTAATTAGAGTATTTCTTGCTTGAAACCTGAACTTTAATGTACACCCAAACGACATTCCATACCTTTATTCTAAAACCATGTCCCGAATATCAAATTTTATTTGACATAAACATGTGACATGCCTAAATATGGTCATGATGACATCACATCATGACAATATATGTGAGCTTTTGTGACAAAATGAGTCTTGTGGTATGCCAGGCCAGTTTGATATATTCAGAAAATATATCTGAAGTGATATTCAAAAAATTTGGTTTTAATTTTTCTGATAAGTTTAATATGTATATTTCATAGTAGCAAAAGTTCTGAGTTAAGTTTCTAAAGATAATCATGTTTTTCAGGCACATTTCATAAAGCTATTTTCAGAAATGATAGGAAATCCAACACACAATTTATCAGTTGTTTATCTTTAATGGCAGTTTTTTTAGATATATAAACTTTAAAATGATCTCACTGGGAACATGATTCAAAAACCAAAATTAAGCTTATATAGTCATCTATCTATATATGTCAATAACTCCTTTTTAATTTTTGTACCACAAGACTCATTTTGTCACGACAGCTGATAATAGGCACATCATGACTATATATGGGCACATCATGACTATATATGGGCACATCATGACTATATATGGACATACAGCAGTTTCTGATAGTCTGGACAGGGAATAAGCTCCAATTTATGACCTTACCTGACCCCATTCGTCTTGGTAAGAGCCAGGCTCACAGGTGAATTCTTGAGGGCTTTGTTCTGGACAAAAGTGACCAGGAGAACAAGTGTATTCAGTTGGGTGGCTGGTATTCTGGCCTCCTGGACAATAATAACCTGGACTGCAATACCCTGTTGGCCATGTGAGACCACTGCCTTCACAGTAATAACCTAGAAGCACAAATTCAAGTAATATACATTAAGTTTTAACCACTAAAACTTTACTCATCTATTTTAAGGCAAAGCCATACCATATAAAAATAGGTAAACAAAATGTTGAGTAAAAACACAATACAAAACATAGTTCATTTGAAAAGAACAGATAGAAATAACTGACCTGGTAAACATGCAAGACAATCTCCAACATCATCATTGTGTGTTGTATTGGCGAAGAAACCAGCTGGACATGGAATTGGATCGTAGGTTCCACTAGGGCAGTAATGGCCTTCAGGGCATTCATTTCCCGTTACGCCATCAACTGGATCTGATACAGAAGCCCCAAGTGTGCAGTAATAACCTGGGTCGCATTCACCTGTTTCGTTGGCAAGTCCATATTCATCACAATAATAACCTGAAAGACAATATGAATTCAAAATCAACTATGATTAATAATTTCAACATAATAATCGTATCATTTTAATAATAGAGCAATTGAAATAGCTAGTAGTAATGATAAGGCCAAATAAAAAAAAAAATTCTAGTTTCTCGTCCCCTCATGCATTCCCTTTTCTCTGCCTCAATAATTGTTTCGTTGTTTTAATTTCCATTATTTTAAAAAAATGTACGGAAATCTGGCTAATCACATCAGTAAAATTCCTCTCTCGATCGCTCGTAGTAGGGGACACATATGGCATGAACCATATCTAGTGCTTATTTTATTTGCTTTCAATGTGTCTACTTGGTAAAAGTGAAAAAGTAGTAGAAGTTTCCCTTCGATCATCTTAGATTTGCTATCTTGGAGTAAAAAAAAGAAAACAAAATGCCCTCATTCTCCTTTTTTCAAAATAAGGACGAGAAACTACTGTTGTTTGGCCTAAAGTTACATTAATGTTAAGTTACACATTTTGTTTAAATCCTATGTAAGAGTCAAATTTAAATAGTAATAATAATAAAAATAATGATGATGACAATAGAGTGCTACAGTGTTACATCATGATACAACGTGTTACTAATTTGTTGCTATCGGCGACACAAAATGCGTTCAACCAGACGCCATTTTCTCCACTGACAAACCATCGATCCCAATTTCTAAGTTCCAATTATTAATTGTCTTAGTTTTTCTTTGTAAATTTTAATTGATGATTAAATGTGTGTTCGATAACTAATATAATGCGAGCTTTTGTGTTTTTAGTATATATTGATGGTAAATTATTATGCCTATTCCAGAAAGCCTATTCTAATCCATTAAGATTATGAAGTCATTCAGGCATAATGAACGGTAACCAACATCTGGTTGACAGCAAAGGGCACCACCTGGTGTTGTGACGACACGACTGTAGTACTCTATAGTGATAATAGGGCCACAGACAATACAAAAACCAAAAAATTAGTACTAAATGAAATAAAAGCGAAAGCAATAACCCAATACCCTGACCTATAACTGTACCAATCGGTTTATCCAGGTAAGTAAAAACAAAATGGTCTAAAAGTGCAGGATAATTTTGCTTACCTTTGGTACACGGTGTTGGTTCAGACGACCCTTCAGGACAGAACTGGCCAGGCATACACTGACCACCAGTTGAATTTGAAGCACAGAAACAACTTGCTGTTGTGTTAGTGTCACCAACATTCGTTGGTGTTCTTGACCACGCTCCACGTACGCAGTACCATCCCGCATCGCAGGGGCCACTGGAACCCGAAAGCCCTGAACTTTCACAGAATTCCCCTGAAATACAGATCGTGAATATTCTAATCAAATGTTTGCTTATGAGCAAATAGTGTATTTCTTAATAGATATAAAATGGAACAAGTAGGTAAGAAGTATTATGCATAACAAAGCAAACAACTTATGCTCATTCAGTATTTACTCAGGTGAAGTGAAAAAGTTCAATGTTAAACTAAAGTTATACAGTCACAGCTTAAATAAAAATATTTATCAAAGATAATAAAATTAATTCAAATCTCACCAGGCGGGCATGGTTTACAATCATCCAGATTCTGTTGACCTTCATAATCATTATAGTAACCTTTCGGACATGGGTACTGGTTCATATATTCAGTTCCTGCTGGACAATAGTGACCAGTTGGACACTGAGTATCAGAGAAGTTGGTGGAATTTTCCGGACACCAATATCTGGGAGAGAATAACAAAAGTAAAGATGTATATATTTGTTATGCCTGAAAAAATAATTATAATTTGAAACTTAGAATAGAATAACTTAGAAATTCGAATACCGAAATACAATCTCTGGATTTATCTTACCCTGGTTCACATTCCAAGCATTTTGATTGGCCAGTCAGTGGATTGTATGTTCCCGGCAGACATCCAAGTGGGAATGATGTGCCATTGGGGCAGTAGTAGCCCACTGGGCAAGGACCGCCTGTTTCATCAACAACTGGATTGTTGGGGTCTTTAGCTCCACGGAGGCAGTAGAATCCGGCATAGCAGTCTCCTGTTGGGTAGACCAGTCCTTGGGTCTCACAATACTGGCCGTACACACAAGCTGTACATTCAGACTAAGGACAAAAATTTAATGTAGATTAAAATAATATATGGCTAAATAATTTAATAAATTAAAAGAATTATCTAAATTATACATATCAGCAGGGATGTTAGTAGTCTATTAGCGAGATACTTCCCTGGATGAACCAGCTAGTAAGTTCTACAATCGGTTCAACCAGGTAAGCATTCACAAAATAGATTAATGATAATGATGATGACAATGATAATACTATGACCATTTTAAGCCTGGTTTCCTTAAAATCGCTACATTGTTGCTACAATGTTTTTAGTGCAATCATTTTACTGCATAGCAGCCCCGATGTAATCAAGAAGGCCCCCTTATTAGACCGGCCAATCAGCATCACTGAAAGCTTTTGTCAATAGCGTGTAGCAATTGTATGGAAACCATTCTTGAGAAATCTTTTACTTGACTTACTGAGTTAGACAACTTGGTAACATTGCTGAATGTTCCTCTTGGGCATGGACTAGGAACGGAGGTACCACTCGGACAATAGTGACCCTCATAGCACAGACCACCAGTTCCTTTTATAAAAAAAAAATTGAATGTTAAGTCTGGCTAAAATAAATTGAATTCAATTCCTAAGTCTTATACGTATGATACATAGGCAGGGCACTCCACTACGTCATACGACTGTTGGCTGGCGAATCCAACTCTGTTGCCTGTAAGTGTTAGATGATGCGACGGTCTTTGCCGATTGTTGGTGGCAGTCTGAATGGATTGTCATTAAAAACGATCCGCTGCGCGTGCATCATGGTGTTGCCTTCTTCATAGAATCGCATTGGCCAACGACCTTCATGCGCAGTCAGTGCCCGGCTTTAAGCAAAACCTAATGAAACCTGATGAAGCTGGAATCGACTTTCAACAAAAGCATCTTAACAAATAAACAATATCATAATGTATGCCTGAGAGTACTGCCCCTTTATTACTTGGTATTCATTTTTAGACAAAAAACTATTTTTAAATTTGAAACTGACCTTTGAAATTGACCTCTGGTGTGGGTGTATCTGACCCATCAACACAATAGTATCCTGGGTCACATTTGCCTGTAACTTTGGTAGCATTCAACTCTGAGCAGAATCTACCAGCAGAGCAATGAGTGCATTGAGTAATGTTTGACAGTCCGTCACTCGTGCTGAAAGTACCTGTTGGGCACGGCTGCCAATCATAACCAGTACCAGCTGGACAATAGAAACCTAAAAGAAACCAAAGTCAACAGTCAACAAAAACATTCAAGTAGTCAGCTAAACTGACAGACTGAACCATGCAGATGCCAAAGTACAATTTAAAGAATTCTGTATTGCATGCAGATTTGTGCGTTATTCTTGGCATTTTTCACATGAAAAATATCCTATTTACAATGTGATACTGAATTAAGGCTTCAAAAAAGCTATTGTCATAATAAAATTCTAACCCAAATCTAACCCAAATTCTAACTGATTAAATGATATATTACAGTACATCTAGCTGATGCTTCTTACCAGCAGGACAACGTTCTGGTTCATAGCCTGTGATGCAATAGAAACCATCAGGACAAGTGTTGCAGGCATCAGCATGTGTTTCTGTCATGTAGGTCCCTGGATCGCAAGGGATTGGGCTGGGTGTAGCCCCTGGGCAGTAATGTCCTTTTGTGCATGGTCCACCGGTTATGGTATCATTTGGTGTTGCTGACACTGCATCGGCTATGCAATAAAATCTAAAATGCAAGAGATAAATACCATTAAAAAACATCTTCATTATAAAGGTAAAAAAATTTTAACTCAATAGAACAGCTAGTGACTAAGCATTCTAATACTCACCCAGGATCACAAGGTCCTGATGTAGTTGTTAGTCCAGTACCATTGCAATAGTAACCTTCTGTACATGGTTGACATGACGATTCATTGTCTAGGCCTACACTGTTTGACCACGTGCCCACTGGACAGTTTTCTGGGGCTGGTGTACCAGTCACACAGAACTGTCCTTCAGGACACACTTCACCTGTTATGCCATCATTCGGGACAGACGTAGACGCACGACCTTTACACCAATAGCCAGCATCACAATCCGCTAAGAATAAATGAAAAAAACTTTTGATTCTGAGCTTCTGTTGCGTTATTATTGTTTAAAACCATGCATCCAAGACAATAATAGCATCATCATCACTTTCATCACAACTACCACCAACAGCCTCAACTTCAAATATCAACATCATAACCATCATGGCATCTTGTACAGGGACATGTTCCTTTTTACCTACACGACTCTTTACTTTTGAGTGAAATAATATTATGAATTATGAATCATCATCACCAAAACCATTTTCATTATGGCTATCATCATTCTCATTATCATCATCAATATCGTCATCATTGTTGTCATTGTCATTGTCATCATCAACTTTACTCACAAAATAAAGCCTGATAACAGGTACACTTACCGGTAGAATCAGTATTACCCGTACCAAAGCAGTACCTCCCAGGGGGGCAATCAGTACACTCACTATCATCTTCCAGCTTTCTCTGTGAGCCATATGTACCATTGGGGCAACTGAACTGGATGCCGAACTCTGTACCATTAGGGCAATAGTAGCCCTGTGGACATGGGTACATGGTATAGTTAGCTATTGGTGCATCTGCCACATCGCAGTAATAACCTACAAATAAAAAAAATGAGGAATGAGAATGACTCTTGGGCGTGGGCGCAGTCACGTGCTGGCACAATCAATTGGTTATATTTTTGCTGTAGGGGTGTCCTTTAAGGAACAATGGCAATTAATCGGTTTATCCAGGTAAGTAATCATGAAATAGAATATACATATACTTCCATGTGTAAGACTGAAATCTATACTAAAATATTTGTACAGAAATATAAGAAAATACAAAGGTATAATTTCTAAAATATACTGTAATACAGAATTTGTTTTCATCATAATTTACCTGAGGGACACATTTTGCATGTCCATTGCGCAATCTCATCCTGGTAGCTTCCAGATTCGCATGGAACTTGATCTGGGCTTCCCTGAGGGCAATAGTACCCGGTCTCACAATGGAAAGGGTTACTTGCATTCTGACCAGTGGGACAGTAGTAGCCCCGGTCACAAGGACCAGTGACGTTAGTTAAGCCTTCATCTTCGCAGTAGAATCCTGCAGTACACTCGGAGCATTGGGAGATGCTGATGAGTCCTGTTGCGCTGGAGTATGAACCTCGAGGACATTTTGGTGGGTTTGCTCCAGTACCTGAGCCGCAATACCTTCCAGGAGGGCAAACATCCCCAGTAATACCATCTTCAGGATCCATTCTACTTGCTCTACTGATGCAGTAATGTCCCTCTTTACATGGTCCAGTAACACCAGATAGCTCTACAGAGGGTAAGATAAAACAGCTTGTAACTTTTTTCTTACTATTACTTAATGATTTTTAAAATTTACATTACTACAAATAAAAAAAAAACTGACATGTTTACTGAAAGAGTATAACAAATAGAGCAACAACTGACCATGTGTTTCACAATAATGACCTTCAGTACAATCCTGTGGCTCGCTTGAGCCAGTTGGGCAGTAATAGCCTGGTTGACACCTTCCACCGGTGATATTAGCAGGGCAAAGACAATCGCCATCTGTGTAGTTACCCCAGTCATCTGGGGTTGGTGTGTAAGCTGCACGTATGCAGAAATAGCCTGAAAATACATTTTAGAAATTCATTAGTACATACAACAATAAAGCACAATTTTTCCATTGTTCTTAAAAAGATGATTGTGTATATTGGTGAAGGGGAGGGAGTCTGTGTATCTGAACAATTTCATGATAAATTGGGATGGGTATGTATAATCAAAATGTAATTGCTGGAATATATTTTTGTGATCCAATTTACTTACCTGGGTCACATTCTGCTGTATATGTTGTGTTTCCTTCGGTTCCACAATATTTTCCTGGATCGCAGGGTGTGCAATCATTGAGGCTCATTCCGAGGTCATCTGCACGGTAATATCCTTTAGGACATGGGAACTCGTACATGTGCTTTGTTCCTAAAATAGCACAAGGTGTAAATGAGTGTTTTAATGTTTAGATATTAATATTATTATTGTTACAATCATGATCATCGTATTATTATTATTATTATTATTATTATTATTATTATCGTCAACCTTGATCTTGTTACTGAAGGACTTTCAGGCACAGCATTAGCACCATTGTCATCTTCATCATTGTGATCATCACCATCATAATCATCATCATCAATGATATCATAACATTCTATTGTCATAATTCAATATCATTATCATCATTCACATCATAACATCATTACCACCATCACTATCTTCATCATATTCCTTATTATTATCATCAACATAATTGTAATCATAATTCTCATTTTCATGATCATCATAATTATTTCTGTTATTTGTTATTAATAATTAATCCAATATCTGACTAACCACTTGGACAGTAGTATCCTTCTGGACATCTGTATGGAGTGAAGTCACTGATGGTATCTGGACAGTAGTAGCCTGCAGGACAAGTAGCACACTCTGCTTGTTGTTGTAAGTTATTGTATGTTCCAGATGGGCAGCCAAGTGGCACTGCTGTTCCATTTGTACAGTAGTGGGCAATAGGACAAGGGCCACCAGTTGAATCTCCTCCTGTTTGAATGGTTGAATGGAAAAATGAAGCTTTTAAAAAGGCAGAGAAATGCAATTATATTTTTTTTAAGTTGCATGTTATTTTCTTTTTTAATATTGTACATAATATATCTATCTATTGTTGTATTTGTATTTAATTCTGTCTCTTATACACATCTAGATGTGTATAAGAGACAGTTATTAAGCAGGCCAACACACACCATATTGTACTTAAATAGAATACACATATACAAATTTGAAAAATAAATCTGTAATGCATTATGGGAGATGTTACCTGCTTATGTAAGTAAAATATTTCTTGTGAACATTTATGTAATCTTAATATGTATATAGTGCAATGTTGAGACATACATAGACACACAAGAATGTTACGGGTAACAATATTTCTATTATGTTCCATATTATGTTATGTATAAATTAGACTTATGTGTCACTAAATGTATTAGTCTGGGCACAATGCACTTCTGCAAAGGAATATTACCAAATGAATAAGGAATGTATATCATGCATGCCTGCTGATGCTGATCCATAACCAGGACAATAACCATGTACAGTAAGTACTTTGACAATTCCATCTCAGTGGTGGATTCAAAGATTCCCCGGCCAGCCCAATGGACCCCCTCCCCCTTAAATATTTCAAAATTAAAACAAAAATGTGGAAACAAAAATTCATATTCAAATTGAAGCCTGAGGGTACAATTTCCAGCCACCTAAATGTCCCATAATCATAAATTTTCTTACTTCAGCCCCAACTATGTTTGGGCTGAGGTGGTCAAGACCCCTCACCTGTGAAAGTCCCTCCCTGGGCCCCCTCTATTTTGAATTCCTGGATCAGCTACTGCATCTAACTGGGAAAGGTGAACATTATCCTTATAATCAACTTTAGATCTAACCTGTTGGGTTTGGATAGATTGCTCCACTTATACAATAAAATCCTTCTGCACATTGACCTTGAGGTTGGGTCAGATTCACTGTACCACAGTAATAACCCGGGTCACACCAATCACAAGCACTTGCATCTTCCAAACGAAGCCTATCTGAGTATGTACCATTGGGACAAGACAGTGGGTACGTTGTTTGCTGGGGGCAGTAATATCCCTGTGGACAAGGCCCTCCTTCTCCGCTGTAAGTTCCCTCTTCAGGATTACTCACATTAACACCTATAATAACAATACAAGCAAAATAAATGGTAATGGTATGTGTAGAATAGAATAACTTATCTGCTGCATTTTAATTCTGTACAAATGCAAGTTTAAAAAATATCCAGTCCAGTATGGAGTTTGTCTTTAATCTCAAAAGATAATGAGCACTGTCATATTTTGTATCATAAAGACAATGGATGCAATTGATGTAAACAATGTAAATTTATGTATTTTATATTAAACTTCTTAAGGTGGGCGTATATAAAATACAGTATATAAATACATGATTATTTCTAATTTGAATTTAAGAATGTATAATTCAATCATATTTAATCTCAAAATTAATAAACAAACCTTGCAGGCAGTAATAACCAGCCTCACAGACACCATAATCATCACCAGAATCAACATCAAACTCTACAATTCCAATTCCTTGACAATAATGTCCTCCTTGACAGGGAAGGCACTCATCCTCTCGTGCCAAGCCCAATCCAGGATTGTATGTTCCTTGTGGACATGGAATTGACTCATTTCCTCCAGTGTTGACAGGGCAGTAGTGACCGCGAGGACATTCCAGAAGTCTCTCACCATCTGGACAATACCTCCCTAAAATTTGACCAAAATCAAATGACAATTAAAACAATCTAAGGTTTCTACTCTCCTATAACTGGCTAAGAGGGAGTACTTATAGCTTATTATATACCTCATATATAGATTCTAGGCCTAGTCATTTGGAGCTGCTGGATGAAGAAGGATTAGCCTAGGCCTAGAATTACTTCTTGATGAAGCCGATAGTGAAAGCACCAAAAGACAAATGAAATACGTCTTGTCAATATATTGCAAGATGATGTGTGCTGTTGAAATTGAGGAAATGAGCAAAGTAGAGCTAGACTCTTTGATCGCTAGGCTAGTGTGTTACTCTAGCCCTCTAAGCTAGGCTAGAAAGTTAAGCACTTTTTTAGGCCTCATAGAATCTATGTATGAGGTATATAAAACAAATATTGACTGCTCTAGATTCATCCCTCAGGAAGATAGGCTACAGTCTCGACATCACCTTAGGGCAATAGATATCACCATTCCCCTCATGAGCTATCAGTATTTTTATACTAGTTACTTGTTGCTTGTTTGGGACTTTTTCCTTTCAGTTAAGAAGTGCTGTAAGTTTTTTCCTTGGTCATTGGGTCCACATGCTTAATTGTTGCTGCTATATTGGTGCAGAAGCAGGCAACCCCACCAGGTGGCTTGCTCAAGAACACAAGCAAAGTGCACAGCGAGGGATTAAATCCCTGACCTTGAGGTTATTGGAAATCAAAAAATTTTCCAGCTGCAGCAAACCACTTGTCTGTCATATTAACTGACTGTAATTTATTAGCAAATACAGTACAATGAACCAACACAGATGGCAGCAGATTAGTCATACTGTATCAGTACATTGGAATTAGCAATAGACCATTTTCGCTAAATTTGAAATGAAAGTTTCTGATAACCTGACAACTACTACTGGGGGACTTCCAAAGGCCTATGCTACATAGTTACCAGTGCGCGCGCGGCGATCTATTTGACACTTGCCAGCGGCTTAGTTTAGGCTAGGCCGCTGGAAGTCTCCCAGTGAGTTGCAGACGTTGGCGTGCCGTTTCAAAATAAACCACGATAAAATGGTCTATACTTGGTTAGCTAACAAGAAATTAACTCACTCTCTGGGCAATCAAAGCAGCTGTCTTGACCGGTAATGTTGGTATAATAACCGCCTTCACATCTCTTTGGAGCTGGAGAACCTTCTGGACAATAGAAGCCAACTGGACAAATGTCACCAGTGGAACCATCTGTAGGGTACTTTGTTTTAGCTTTGCCCAAGCAGAAATAACCTACAACAAAATTGCATAATAAATTTCAATCTATGCATCTTTTCTTTATTCCACTCAGACAAGCTAGGGCTATGGCTGAGTGTATCTACAAACTAAATTCTGTATTATTATTATAGGCATGGAGTAAAAAGGTAAACTACCATTCACTAAACAAAGAACTATTTTAAAATACAGAAAAAGAAAATGATGAGGATGTGGGGTGAGGCAGAATGGGCTATTCCTTCCAATACTTTTTGAGAGGTAAGTTCCACACTACATGGACTATATTTCTTTTCTCTGTTTTCCATATAATTTTGTGTAAAGTGCATAAGAGCAATGTGCACTTTACAAATATAACATTATTATTATTATCATCATCATCATTATTATTATTATTATCTGGGTAATTCACAAACCATATCTTGTTTATTACTGGTTTAGAAAAAAAAAAGATAATGGAAATATCTAATTTGATAATGGATGATATCAGTTCAATAGATAATATCAAAACAACTAAAAAATGTTCTGAATATTGGCCTACCTGGAGCACAGACACCATTAGGAGCAGTAAGAGCAACACCATTGCATACTTCACCAGCAGGGCAATCACTGCAGTCACTCAGTGCTTCTACTCCAGTTATGTTACTGTAGGTACCATTTTCACAAGGGTAGTGGAAGGGGTCAGCTGTTCCTGCAGGGCAGTAATAACCCTCTGGACAAAGACCACCAGCATCAGTTGCATTTTCCTGCACAATTATAAAGATTCACATTATGTATACAAAAAACTCCATTTTACCTAATATTTCCTGATAAATAATTGATAGTTCACCTAACTGGTCCCATTTGCTATTAAGGAAGCCCTGGCTATTCGTCTTAAACCTAAATTAAACTGTGGACTCAAAGCATCTAGAGAGCTGAAATTGTTTATCTGATAATTTAACCCACACTATTGCCTCTCACATAATCACCATTGTTGGACTTGTTTAATCTCCTCATTTGCATATTGTAGCATTTTTTGTAATCAGTGTCTAAGTTTTCTCATTCCTGAATATGACCCAATAAAGGTCAAAATGTTGGATCATGGCCTCCCTTTTTTTTAATTCAGAGTAACATTCTTTTTATGTTATTTAAACATAATCACTGCATCTGTTGATTTCCTGATAATTTGTAATGAAGGCAGCATATACTAAATTGTCTCTGTAGCTTTATTGGTAGAATAACCTAGGAGTAATTAAAATGAATTTGGTTCTAACAAATTTAGGCTTCTTATAAAAAAAAAATAGGCTTCTTATAATATATACTTTATTTGAAAACAACACTTTAAGAACAGTGGAACTCACAACCATTGCAGTGTGTTCAAAAGGGTAAATAAAAGCTAATAAAATGGAATTTTTTTGATTAAGATGACACACTATGCAAAACTTAGCATTTAAAATTTATTAATATATACTCTAAGTTAAATTATTATAATATTATTTGATAATAATTATAATTCAATTCATTCAAAGAGAATATTTGCTTCACTTTTATTCAATACAAACTTTTAATTTTATTCAATAATTTTTGTAACCTTGCTTACCAGTGGATGAGATGTGTTAGCTCCAAGGATGCAATAATGGCCAGCTGCACAAAAACCACTGACTGCGAACAGACCAGTTGACCCGCAGTAGGAACCAGGGGTGCACAAATCACAAGCGTCCAAGTCTTGACCGCCAGTCACCTCACGAAATGTGCCCTGAGGAGAATCATGAAACAATCATGTTAACAAAGTGATATATTTGTTTCTAATAATAATTTAAATCTATTAATAACAAAAATTTATCTAGCTTTGTTATTGTATAGAAAAAATATTTGTCATCTATATAATGATTTAAATATAATAACAAATGTAGAAATACTATTAATTTAAACAAAATAATTAAAAAAAAAACAAAAAACAACAGATGACTGAATAAATCAGTATCGAAAACTGGACCAAACTGGTTATATTTGCTCTTGTCTTCAAAAACAAAAATCTTCAAATCAGCTAAAATTCCCATTGGACCAAAAATATAAATTATCATACTTTGCCATTTCTTAGCCGATTTAACAAATTTTGCATCAATTACTAGATTTTAACCTCTAGATTACAATGATCTAATAATCTTATTTTTCATTGTCATATCTTGTAGTTTTAATGTTTCAATATTTTTGTTGTTTTTAGTGCTTTTACCAACTGGCAAAACAAAATTCCATGATTCACTTGTTTGATTAACGAAAATAAAGTATTCTTGACTCTTGAAATAAATATAGCATAAATGGCCAATTCAATCAGCCCAAAAAAGTTCAAAACAGATGAAAAGAGGAAAATGAAGTAATAATTGGCAGAAAAAAGATAAGTACAGTATATCTCACCAGAGGACAGGGTGTTGGCAGGACACTTTCGGGTGGACAATAGTGACCCCGGTCACAGATCTCCTGTTCTGAGGTGCCAGTACCATTGCAATAGTATCCCTGAAGACATGTCAAGCACTCATCAGAGTTCTCAGCCTGAAATCAGATGTACAATGATTATGTCACGATTGACTAAAATATATTCAATCGCATGTTGGGACAATCGGTCAGTTCTATTTTTGTTATAGGGTTGTTAGGAACAATGTCAATTAGTCAGTTTATCCAGGTATGTATTCACAGAATAGACAATATTTTCTCCACGAAATATAACACATAAAAATCTCTAGGAAACCAGTATTGAGTTGCTATATTATTCTTATTATCTATGTTTTTATTATTATCAAAATACCGTTTGGTATTCTCCTCGTGGACACGGTTCAGGCTTGAATGCTGCTGACAGACTGTAGTGACCAATGGGTGTGTTGTGTTGTATAGGGGTTTCAGCACCCCCAGTGCAGTAGTAACCAGCCTTGCATGGACCAGTAGGCGCTGGGTTGTTATCTCCAGCACAGTAATACCTAAAAAGAAATGACAATAAATAACTGAAGAAATAATGATGATTTTGATGATGATGATGATGATGATGACAATGATGATGATGATGAGTAAGTGTACAGGCAGCAGTCTCTTACCCCGGGTCACAAGCAATGCAGTCATCAGGAGTCTTCGAACCAGTTGAATTACTGTAAGTGCCAAGACGACAGTTAGCCGGCCAGGCAGACCCGGCTGGACAGTAGCTGTCTCTTATACACATCTAGATGTGTATAAGAGACAGACTCCAGTCATGTTCCAAAGTCAAACTCGGTTCGTGTGAATGTTGCTTTACTTTGTATTTTTTGTCCTCACACTGAGGAAGAACACAGGAGTGTTTAAAATGTTTGTGATTTAATAAATTAGATTGCTTCTAGTATGTTTACAACTCATAGCTGTTTTTTATTATTGTCTTTCTATATTTAATTTATCGAAGCAAACGTGGAATCTTCATTTTTTAATATATATATATATATATAAATATAATATATATACATATATATATACATATATAACAAAACATTTTTTTGAATAAGATTAATACAAGTACACAACTGCCATTAAAAGTACAATACTTATTCTAAATATTATCAATAATGTACTAATATATAAATAAAAACATTGATAAAACAATCAATTAGTTGATTAATCAAACAATTGTTCTATCAATCAGTCTGTCTTACCGATGTGTAAGCTTTTTCACGACAATAGAAGCCAGGGTCACATACATCTGTAGGCTCAGTATTTCCAAAACCATCGCAGTAGTAGCCACCAGGGCAAGGAGAACAATCATCACTCCGTCTCAAATTAGTAGAGTTGCCATATGTACCAGCAGGGCAAGGCTGTGGGAAAGTACTACCAGACACGCAGAAGTAGCCCTAGCAAAATAAAATAAGTCTGTCAAAAAAATTCCTGGCGAATGATGCAGTAATGGTTTTGGGTTTTTTTTAAATAAAAAAACAAATTCTTTTGGGTTGTATCACTTTTATGTGTGGAAATCATATATTGTATTTTAGTTTTAGAAATATTAGCTTTAATCAATTACATTCAATGTAAACAATTAGGGGCCTAATTGGACAAGTATTATAATTATTTCCAAAAACAATTACCTGGGGGCAGTCCTCTGGCCAGGCCAGGCCTTTCACACTGCAGTAGTAACCTGAGATACAGATTGTACATCCCTGTCCACTCTCACCAGCACTTGCATTTAGGTAGAAGCCAACTGGACATGGATTTTCATAAGGGTCAGCTGTACCTTCTGGACAATAATGACCACCAGGACAATCACCAGCCTTAAGGAGAAATATAATGATATATTTTTTTGTTTAATTTGCAACAATAAAACATATAGAAACAGGATTTTGAAAAAAAAAATGGCGTTATGTTGGAAATACAGATGTAAGGTACTTACGGGGGCTAACAGACCAGGAGGTGAGCACCACTTTCCAGCTGGACAAGTCTGGCACTCAGACTCCTGGATTAGACCTTCGACATCGCTGTAAGTTCCATTTGGACAAGGTCTTGGAAACGGATCCTAAAGAAAAAGATCATATGTTACAAGCACTTCTTTATAGGATTTAGATAATATAAAGCACATTTTAAAGAACTGATAATGTACAGTATTAAATATTTAGAGGAAAGGAAATATTATGAAGAATAAAATATACAGAAATGTATATGAAAGATTTAAATCATATCTAAAATTCCTTCCCTCCAAAATCGTGTACTTACTAAATCTCCACTAAGACAGTAATACCCTTCAGGACACGGGTCATTTTCCAAGTCTGGTGCTGAAGTACGATTGTAATTACAAAACATACCCGCTGGACATATCTTGTTGGCATACATGTCATCGCGAGTGGTTGTTGTGCTGTCGCAATAATGACCTGCTTCGCAATCACTGCATGCTGGAGCCCTGGTGTCCTATACAAATAATCATTTTACATATTTGAATTTATTGAAGAAAATATATCCATCTGGTAATGTGTTTACTTAAGTTATTATCATCTTCCATCTACTGTCTTTATATTAATATTTTGTTTACTTGAGAAAATAACATCAAAGAATGTCAAGACTTGTTTACTAACATCTAAATGAATTGAGTGTTGTAATACCTAAAGTATAGGTAAGTTGTAAGCTACACTAAATTACAAAATAATAGCCTGGTTCTCACGAGAGTCCTAGTATCCGGATCGGGAGCTAACTGTTAGCGCTAACCGTTAGCACCTGTGTGAGAACGCCCGATCTGTTAGCGCTAACCGTTAGTGGTATCCGGATACCGCTAACGGTTAGCAAGCGCTATCGGATAGCAAGTGAGCGTGTTTCCATCATCAACTAATCGCGTTTACAATTTCCAGTTTCTTATTGGCCAGTGATTCGATCATCATATTCTTGGTATCCGGATCGGGATTTTCTCGTATGGATGCACAGCAGGTAACGGTTAGCAGGATCCGGATCCTGCTAACCGTTAGCAGCCGTGTGAGAACATAGCCAATAAGTCTTAATAAACAAATAGATAAATTAGGCTCTGTCCACACTATCAAAGTTATGTGACAAATTTGTGTGATGTGTCCATATATGGGCATCATGATGTCATATTACAACCAAATATGGGCATACCACAGTTATTTGTCACATGAATGTTGACAAGCTTAAGTAAAATATCACTTACAGAGTAGGCAGCTTTTCCACATTCAAGAGGTTCTGTGTTACCAGTGCCAGGGCAATAATAGCCTGCAGTGCAGCTAACACAATCAGTGCTAATTTCTCCATTCAGTTCATCTAGATAGGTACCAGCTGGACAAGGGCTCGGCGTAGATGAGCCCTCGGGACAGTAATAGCCTTTAGTGCACGGCTCGCATTGTTCCCATCTTGTGTTGCCCTCGTCGTTAGAGTATGAACCAGCTGCACATGGGTATTGTGTACTGTACTGTGTTCCTGCAAAAGGCAAATGTTTATACAATGCAATTTGTTCCATTTTTTTTTTGGAGAAGCCTGGGGTAGCCAACAAGACTTACTTCTTCATGTGATAACATTTCAGGTATTTCACTGCTTTATTATAATATTCCATTTATTTCTTTCTTTAAAAATTGTAACTTTTATAATAAGGGCAATATTGATGTACAGATGAAATTATCTATACATCTATAACCATTTTTGACACTTCGGAAAAAAAGTACCAAAACAGTAAACTAATTTTTCTGACCTGCTGGACAGTAGTGACCTGTGATGCATTTCAACACAGGCTCTGTTGAGCCTTCCAAGCAGTAATAGCCTCGAGGACATTCATAGCATTCTGTGACATCACCAAGGTTGGTCTTGTTGGTGTAGGATCCAGCCGGACATGGATATTGTGAACGATGTTGGGTGCCCGATGGACAGTAGTGGCCAGGGGCACACTCCTCTGGTGCCTGATTCACTCCACCAGTCCCTATGAATATAATATTTATAATAAATTATGGACATAATATCTTTATATAGTTACTAGGTCCCATGAGTTGATGTCAGCACTATTTTGTTAGCCAACTGTTATTGTTCTATACCAATTTAATATATGCACATTTTAAGCTCTTTACTTGTCATATAATGACTTTATTTACAACTCTATCATCTTCTTGACTATTACAATGTACCTAAGGGCAATAGGTCCGACTGCCCTGATTTTGTATACACGCAAAGGAACGTACTGTCACGAGTAGGGGGATACCCTATTAGAATTTGAATAGAGTTCACTCGAAATTCATCTTTTAAGGACACGCTCCTTTGTGGCAGTATTTCCTGAAATAGGATTACGTTCCAACAAAACTACAAGTCGGACCCTTTTGCAGTTTTATACTCTTTGAATGTACTCTCCAGGTTAACTAACAATTATAATGCACTACCCATGGAATTAACACATTAGTTAACCAGAATATTACTTTTAAAATTCAGGTGACCCAAAATTACTTAAAAAATCTTAATAAAATGTCACTAAAACAAGACAAATGTGGATTTATTCTATTTGTAGAGTTAATCTAGATAAATATATGCTTCTTGTTTTACACAATAATCTACTAAGAAATGCCTAAACCTAGTTACATTTGGTTTGTTCTTTATTTAATTAAAATATATACAGATGAACTTGCCTAAGTCAAATCCGAAATGGCATTGAACAATTATTTAAATTTGATACAATTTGACTTACAGGTCGTTAATCAATGGAAATCACAAAAATTTGTCATGTAAAATAAGATCGACTTAGAAACATTTGAGTTAGGCAAAGCCAACTTTGGCAAGTTTAAGTGTATAATATAAAAAATATATTACATAGTTTATTACATAATTTATAATACTGTAGTAATAATTTTATAGAAAATAAAATATAATTTATAATAATGTAGTAATAATTTTATAGAAAATGTATTATAATATATATAATAAAAAACATATTACTTATATCACACTATGTCATATATTAAATATAAGGCCAGCATACCTAAGAGACAGGCGAACTGTGCTGGACAAGGGTCACACTGGAAGGAAGCAGTAAGGTTGTGGTAGTCAGTATATGTGCCAGCGGGGCAAGGAAAGCTGACTGGATTATCAATGCCCGCTGGACAATAGTACCTAAAGGGGCAAAAATATGAATGAACAGTTTGTAAAAATTCTAGCATATCATTTAAAAAATTATTATATAAAAACCAATTTGTTTTCTAAATACTCATCATGGTTATTGTTTGTGCACAGATCTTTCACCTTCTTAAACTTTGGCACTGTATGTATTCATTTAATATTTTCGTCATCTGCCAAGCAATATGATTTTCTGTATTTTTATATGGACAAATAAAATTTCTTGAATCTTGAATATTAACTAACACCAACACAAAGTGTCAGTGACCTATGAATGTTTATAATTCCTGTCCTATGACCTATGAATACCAAGAACCTAAGACATATAAATGTTTATACTTAGAAAGCTACATTTACCAATTTCAGTAAAGCTACAATTATGTTCCTTGTTTGTTTTTGTGATACAATCAAACTTGACTTACCCTGGTTCACAAACAGAGTCAGGTTCCACAAGACCAACTTGCGTACACGCAAAGCCTGCAGTACAGTTGCGGCAATCACTATCAGCATCTTGGCCTGTGCTGGGGTTGTAGGTCCCTTGCAGGCAAGGCATAGGTGTATCTGTTCCGTTGGGACAGTAGTGGCCTGCTTGGCATTGTTTACAGTAATCTAACGAAGTAGCACCCTCTTCCTCAGTGAAAGTGCCGCCTGGACATGGGAAGACCACATAATCAATGGTCTTCCGTGGACAATAATGACCTCGAGGACAAAGAATTCCTTCTTCACTTCCTGCAAGGAAAAAATCATCATTAATAAGATATTTGAAAAAAGAAGATATACTTAATGAAAGAATTAGTATCATAATTACTATCTTTAATTATCCTCATCGCTATTACAGTCATCATCAACATTATCCCCAACCATCATCATCATCATCCTCAGCCATCATCATCTCCAATCATAAGCTAACAATCCTCAATATTTAAAATTGCAATCCTAAAAATCATTACAATTATTGTTGTCATTAATATTATCATCAACATTCTCATCACCATCATAATCATCAATCACTACCACCACTGTTAAAATCCACAATCATCACCATAATTATAGCCAGAATAATTACACACATACTACGCATCGTTGGTAAACACATGATGTTTATTCTCCATCACACTATCAGTACAGTTTCTAAGCAGTTTAAGTTGCCAGGTTATCACATGTTTTGTATCCTATAATAATAAACATCCTCATCATTGTCTTCATCATCCTTGTCATCACCATTAAACTTTTCATTTCATCATGTAGGCTTAAATTTAGTTAACTTTCAATAATGTTACTTGAATTTGAGATTTGAGCTTTACCAAGGGGACAGTAAAAGCCAGCTGGACAATCAATGCAATCATCCTCTCTAACAGCACCAAGATCATTATAGTATGTTCCCTCATCACAGCCATTGTCTTTTGATCCCAAAGTGCCCTCTGGACAGTAATGACCTCTAGGACAGATGTACTCAACACCTGGTGTACCCACAACTGGTTTAGCAGGACAGAAGTAGCCTAATAAGAAAATGAACATTGTTGTGAGTCGTTCATAGCATAAAGCTAGTAATACTTAATTGTTGAAGTCCTTTGACAAGACACTATAGAACCAAAAGGTCTACTACATAAAAACATGAGTACAGTATCTTTGAAACATGATACAAAGAAATCATTTTAAATAAGTTGACACACGACCTACCATTACAAACTATATTAGTTAGTATGTAGATCTATACAAAACTATTAAAAGTAAAGATCATATATCAATCCAATAACCATCAAAGTCAAATGCTTTGGGTATAAATTTTGTGGCAGATACCACTGTTAAAGTATATAAAGCTACATAAATAAAATGTGAGCTGTAGTGACAAAATGGGTCTTGTGGTACGTCAGGTCAATTTAATATACTGTATTCAAGAAAATATATCTGAAGTGGTATTTTGACAAAAATTGGGTTTCAATTTTACTGATACATTTCATAGTAGCAAAAGTTTTGACTAAGGTAATCATCATGTTTTTAAGGCACATTTTCTAAAGCTGTTTTTCAGAATTAGGAAAACCAACACAAAATTTATCAATTGTTTATCTTTACAGGCGATTTTTTCTTAAGTACGTTTTTAGACATCAGGGGCCGGATTTATCAAACTAGAAATCAGCTTAAATTCATCTTAAGTCCATTTTTTTGCTTAAGTCAAATTTATCCATATTGCTTAGCTTTAAAATTGCTTAAAATTAGAAAGTCGATCGTACGTTGGCGTCATCTAAGACGACTTTTAAGCCAAGATTTTGCTAAGATTGGGTAAAAAATCAGCTTAAGATATTTATTAGGGACATCTTAATTTTTCTGACTTAAGACATTTGCTAAGCTGGGATTGATAAATCCCGGGCCTGAACTTTAAAATGATCTTACTACTGTATAGTTTTACTCAACCTAGAAACAAGATTCAAAGACCAAAATAAAGCTTATAGTCATCTATCTAAATATATCAATACAATACCTATTTTTTTGTACCACAGGACTCATTTTGTCACGACAGCTCACAAATATGTAAATTGTATATAGTATACTATATTAAATATGAATACAAAAAAATATGTATTACCTTGAGGACATGGAGCACATCCTTCAGTGGAGCTTGTTGCCCCAGTCTTGTTACCATAAGTCCCTGCTTGGCATGCCTGGGGCGTGTGCCCATCCTCACAAAAGTAGCCTTGAGGACACACCCCTGATGTTGGCGACCTGCTGGTACTGCCTTCTGCACATGTGTAGCCTGGATCGCACTCTGAACATGCCACACTGGACTGATTGCTGTAAAACCCGGCGTCACAGATCACTGGTCCTACATCTTTTTGGTTACAGTAGTAACCACGAGGGCACGGTGTACATGAAGATTGACCACCTGTTTAAAAGAGAGCAATTAAATCAATGCATCATGGAGTTTGTCTGTGATTTGGTAGTGCCCACCTTAACTCCAATATTCCTGGGTTCAATTCAGGTGAGAGTCATCACAACAAAAAAAATCTGATTAAAGCACTCTGGTTTACATTAATATTTGTTGTCAATGAAGGCTATAAAAATGAACCAGATGAATAAGCCCATAGATTTTGATGTAGAGCATCACGGGTCAAGGGTCACAAATGTACAGCTTCACTGGATGGATCATGCTCATTATGGTGCAACAAAAATGTCTCAATGAGGTACGATCCAAGCTTTTGCTTTAGAGATAATATTACCCACAATATCAAATATGATACTCATTTGTGTGCAGTTTGACATACATGCCATTGTGTTCCTTAAATAAACTTACCTAAACTATAGTAACCATCAGCACAAGCTTGACCGGTCTGGTTGGTCAGTGGACATTCTTCTCCTGCAGGGCACTTAGTGCATATCTAGAGCAAAATTACATGGTTTGTTAACACAAGATAGGTTTCCCTACTCTCCCAACACATCAGGTTTTTTTTTCAGAATTATTTACGTTGTGTATCGCAAATATATAATAACAATTATAATAAATATGATAATCATAATAATAATAATTTATTCATTTATATTGCACAAATTCCATTAAAATATGTTCAAATGCGCATGTATACTATCAATAACATTTAGAAACTTACTATTGACTCAGGTTCGGCATAAGAACCAGGATAGCATGAGATTTGGAAGCTGCTGTATATAGATGGACAAGCATAGCCCCCTGGACAGCTGGTACACTCACGTTGACCACCAATGCTGTATGTACCTGATGCACAAAGGGTTTGTGTTGCAGAAGAATTACTTGGACATTCATAGCCTGGTGGACACCTTGTACACACCTGGAATAAAAACCACACTTAGCGTTAGAGCTGGACATCACAGCCATGGATTAGGAGATATGATAATACCTTAAAATCTCGAAATTGAAGCCCTGGGCTTCATTATTTTGCGAACTTCGGGTGTGCTTCTTTTCAATATCGGCTTCTTTTTGAGGCTAGAGGGGGGGGGGGCTTCTTTTAAAAATGAATGCTGTACATTTTGTGAATTTGTACTATAAAACAATAAATAAGGCCACTGTAACATCAATCTGTATCATGGAGTGTATTTAACTGGCATTAAATCACCTAAACTACTGTATAAACCAAGCTTGTTTTTAATTAATTAATTTTTTTTTTTTGGAATTCATGTACAGTGTACTGTACTCTCTCGAAAAAAAAAGCCTATTCTTTCTTGAAAAGAAGCCCATGGGCTTCTTTTCGAGATGGGCTTCTTTTCGAGGCAAATTTTGCAAACTAAGGAGGGGGCTTCAATTCGAGGTTTTACGGTAATACAATATTTTGTATTATAACACACCTAAACAGATCCCAGTCATTTGACTGGTCAATTTTGTACCACATGACATTAGTTATTTTGTCCATTTCATTGCTCATCATTTTTTTCCATCCGAATCGTCCATTGCACATTGCCTATGGATACGAAATGATTTCGACCTAATACAACCTTTTAATTGGTTAAAATAATGCGGGACTGACTTTTTCCGGGAGGGTTAAGTCTATGAAATGATGACATGCCATCTATAACCTTTCTCAGGCCTACTTCTTGCTGAACTTGTCTTAGCGGTGTGCAATGTATCAGAGATTTTGTTTACTGTAAACAGTTGTAAAGTATTTTAATTGCATGGATAATACCTCAAAAACTAGCTCAAACTTCTGTGTGGAATTTGGCTCTTATTTTCAAAAATGTGCTGACGGATTTCTAGTCTAGCCCTAGGTTTTGTGCAGAGGATAGGCTTAGGCCAGGTAGGCCTAGGCTAGCTAGGGGTAAAAGGGGGTAAAAACTTGTATGATATTGGACTATTTTTTTTGTTTCAACTAGAATTTGCATGCCTCCAACATTTCAGGTTGGCCTATATACTACACTTACAGATGTTTGAAAAAGGCAATTTTTTCAAGTATTAACCATAAGATTTGAGCCCTTTGGTTACAATTTTACTTACTTACATTCTTTGGCTTTATGAGACAGCATGGTTATTAGGATTTACATTTCAGTCGGTCTTTATTATTTATTATTAGTTTTTGAGAAAAATATCTGTTGCAAGATGAAGCATGATAAAGACCAATTGTGATATTAATATTAACAATAACAAATATAATTAAAAATAATAAAATATTGGTACCGTCTGTGAGCCGACAGAGTAGGTGCCAGCGATGCATTCAACTTTGGTATCACTGTCGGTGCTAGGACAAGCAAAACCCGCTGGACAATCAGAACAGGCAGTGGCATTGCCAATAGAGTAAGTACCCTACAAATAAAATATAATCCACATGACATTAATATAGAAATAACAACAAACAACAAAGTTCAAAAATAATTTTAAAAAGCACTAATAATTATAATTTAATTAAACAGTAAATTTGTTTACCGATATACACTGCGCATTAGCTGAGCCATCTGTTGAAGGACACTCCCATCCATTAGGACATGTCTGGCATCGGGAATAAGCCGTGTAGGAATAAGTACCGGATGGGCAGTTTGCGATATTACTGTCACTGTCCGTATCGGGACAGTACTTGCCCGGCTCACAAGCACTGCAAAATGACTGCTTTCCAACTGAATAAGTCCCTTTAATAAATATGACATGAAAAATACTTATATTAGTTTTACTGTATTGATTTTAACATGAAATCACTTTATGATTATCATTATATTCTTGGACCAAATTAAAAAAAAACATAGAAACCTCTTTAAATAAAGTACAAAAATTCAATTAATACAAACACAAAATATATAGAAATATTTATCCATCAAAAAGATACAAAGAGCAGGGTTATACTATATAGCGCCAGATTATAAAACGAATAGGAAGTTAAAAAATAAAAGCTGATGGGATCCCACCTGGTAAACATTGAAACATTGCGGTTGGATCTGTCGTTGATGGGCATGCAAATCCAGCAGAACATTCTGTACAGTTTGTTTGCGATCCAGTGGAATACGAACCAGCTGCACAAGCTTTTGGTGCACTATCCGATGACGGGCATTCATAACCTGCTGGACATGCAACACACTCTGTGTATTTATCCAAACTGTACGTCCCTGTTCCACATGCTTTTGGTGGTAAACTACAAAGATTGAGTAAAAACATTATTTAAGTCTTACAGTGCAAATCACCTTAAATTAATTCTGATTTTGCATAATAAAACTAAATTTTTGACTAAAATAAAAGTATTCTGCCTAAAAATTGGTTTTATCCATTAATTAATTCAGTTATAACAGTATATAGCAGATAGACACCACATTCAATATTTATACATCACAATCAGGTCAGGCCGTTAACGATTGTTTGCTTGATCCACGACCCCCCGTTGATCTTACAATGCATTTGGTACGTTAGTATAATTATTAGTAGAATACAATTGAACATTAATGCAGGGGTGCTGCTATAATTTCTTTAGTTATTTGATTTATCAACTTAAGCTGTTATTTTTACTACTGTTTACATCTCAAATGTATTTCATACTGCATTAATGGAACTGTGTTATTGGCAACACAATTATGTAACATATACCTTTGATATTGACAAGAGAATCCCGGTGAACAGTCTGTACATTCAGTTTGTGATTTGTTTCCATTGGTGTGTTGACCTGGTTGGCAATCTACAGGCTGCTGGTCAGTGTACTGACAGGCTTGACCGGCACTGCATTCAGTGCAGTCTGAATCACCAAGCAGGCTATAGGTACCTGCTTCACAAGGTATGGCAGCGCTGCTATTGCAATATGAGCCAGCGGGACAAGCAAAGCACAAGACATCACCCTATAGAGAAAAACACAATCATCAAGGCTACTCATTGCATTGTAATTAAGACTTTTTTATATCTGTATTTGAAATGTTTTGAAAGTGGGACTCTTCATGTCAGTATTGCTGTTTGAGCCACCCTCTCAAATGCTGGCATTAAATATTAATAAAAGTTATATTCATATAATTTTAATATTATGACCTGTAAGATGACAATGTAATATATAAAATAATGACAATTGTCTAGAAACATAAATAATATTAATAACTAAGAACTGTGAAAGGAAAATGAAGATGATAACATGGTTTATGGTGTTCATATGGGCTCTGAGATGGACAATTCCATTATTATTTAGGTAAGTACTTGTATGAGAATTCTGCCATTTATTGGTTTATCCAAGTAAGGAAGTATTCCCAGAACAGACAATTATAAATAGTAAGGGCTAAAAAAAAACCAAACATGCTTATGTAAACCACACTGAATTGAACACATGTTAATCTAAAAATGCACTATATAAATAAATATTATTATTATATTTGGACTGCACTATACATACTTCACCACTGTATGTTCCGTCTGCACAATTAGAAGGAGTGTCTCCAGGATTCAAACATGACTGACCAACAGGACACACAGCACATACTTTGGCGCGATCACTTGAGTAGCTTCCTACAGGACATTGTTGTGGGGCAACAGATGGGTCATCACAATAGAAACCCGCCGGACAATCAGTACAAATAATCTAAAAGAAAGCACATGTGCATATGTGTGAAGCTATTTTTGTGAACTACTTGTTAACAGGTTGAATAATTCATAAAAAAAAATATAATTATCAAAATAACTAAATATTATATATTTATTATACTTTAGTAGATTTACCTCTCCAGATCCTGAATATGTTCCATTTGCACAGAGAACAGGTACCTCACTTGCATCTGGACAGGTGAATCCAGGTGGACATGCAACACAAGTGGAAGACAGCTCAAAGCTGTAAGTACCTGGTTTAAAATGATTTTAAAATATTTATAGTCTGATGATTGCAAAGTATGTCTTATTGATTGAAGGTTTGCATGGTGAAGTAATAATATATGAAATGGTTGCAGTACACATGTTTTTGTTGAGAAAGGTATCTGTCTCTTATACACATCTAGATGTGTATAAGAGACAGAGGTATGGCAGCGCTGCTATTGCAATATGAGCCAGCGGGACAAGCAAAGCACAAGACATCACCCTATAGAGAAAAACACAATCATCAAGGCTACTCATTGCATTGTAATTAAGACTTTTTTATATCTGTATTTGAAATGTTTTGAAAGTGGGACTCTTCATGTCAGTACCCCTGTTGAGATTTTAGCTTACCAAGGGGACATGGTGAACATATACCAGCTCCTTCTGCTGCATAGGTTCCTGGTGTACAGTTGCGTGGTGAAATCCTTGCAGAGCCGTCCAGACATTCATGTCCAGATGGGCACAGTGAGCACGATCCAGAGCCTGCTGTGCTCCACTGACCTTCAGGACAAATAGTACAGACCTGCTGACCAGCCACACTATAGTAGCCTTCGTCGCAGTCACCTGGTGTCTGTGTCACATTTAAGCACTGCTTTCCAGCGGGACAGAGGGTGCAACTAATCTGACCGAGTGTGTCCTGGTAGGTTCCGGCAGGACACTCCTGTGGTGCTCCGAGAGGTGTTGGACACATGAATCCAATGGGACACAACACACAAGCTGTTCCATTTGAATATTCACCATACTATGGAAATGTGAAAATTAAAAAAAAAAAAATACTAAATTTATCTATATTATTAAAGAGTAATTTTTGTTTTAACCTAATTTCTTTTGATTTTCTTTTTTTAGAATATACGATGCTTGCACCCCCAAAACTAGTGTACTGTCGCTAAATGACAAACTGAGTAATTAACACAATAATGTGGCAGTATTGTATACTTAAGTACAGAGAGTGTGTTACACTTTTACTCATCCCTTTGGCAGTAGTAAGTCGATTCCAGTAAACGACCAATCATTTTAAAGCTTATAATGTGAAGAATATGAATATATTAAAAAAACGTAAATTTTATTTTTTTAGTCCATGATACTGGTTTTGGAATGGCAAGCACCATATACAGTATTCTCTTTTTCCTCTTCTACTTTTCCCTCAGGATTTTTTGTGCAAAGAATCTCTCATATCAAATAACAAAAAGGATGATGACTTACGTTACATGTTGATGGTGCTGCAGATGGATCACCACAAACTTGGCCTGTTGGACATTGGTAACACTCACGAGTCCCACCAGTTGAATACTTTGAAAGTGAGAAAGAGAAGCACATAAATGAGCTGGTACATGCAGAAGTCAAAATGGAGAAATTTCAAAGTTATGATCCATCAGTAAGCCAACAAATAATATTAATGCCTGTTTCAAAATTGTTGGATTTAAAAATAAAACAATTAAAATTATGCTGACTTACAAATCCTGTATCACACACTTCTGGATCTTCATCTCTGTTGGGACACTTGAAGCCTGATGGACAACGAGTACAAGAATCGGATCCCTCAGACGTTGTGTAATAGCCTGGAGAGCACTGTCAATGCAAACAAAATTAAATATTTTTGATATTATGATATTATGGCTGTACCTTGCTGAGCCCCTGCCTTAACTGCTCGGCCATTCAACTCGCGCTACAGCTCTAACAAAATTATCATGATTACTTACAGCAGTGCATTGCTCTAAGCCAGTAGAGTCTCCATAGTAACCCGCTGCGCACGGAGATGGTTTCTGTGTCACATCATCGCAGTGATGACCTAGAAAAAAATTATGGCTCTAAATTAACACAAAATGTTAAATTTCATAAAACAAAAATTAATGCTCTGAATTACAAACAAACACAAGTACTTTCCCCTGTCAGTTAGGACAAAAGACTTAACCATGGTCAATGTAAAGCACTGCATATTTAGCCAGTAGAAAGCATGCCTGTTCATTTACATAGTATTTTGTGATGATTAGTGAGGGTCCACACCAACCCTAGTTAAGGATAGGCAGTAATAGCTAAAGAGAATATAAACATTTAGGATACCATAAACAGATGTGATTTTAATCCCCAAGCAAAGGTTCCATTCAAAGATGACATACCTATTGGACACACAGTACAATTGGTGTTTCCTGTAGAATTTGCATACCAACCAGCAGGACAAGATGTTGCCATACCAGTAGGGGGGTTAGGACAGAAGGTACCAGCTGGACAGGGTTCACATGTTGTGCTCCGAGTTGGTGAGTATTCACCAGCATTGCAAATGACAGGCTCAGAATCAGTAGTTGCACACCTGATAAAATAAATTAGTCAAAACAGAATTACATCAGTATTAACTTCTTTTATACATGAAGAAATATTCACAACTTGTGTATTACCACAACTAAATGACTACTTCAAAATGCGTTTCTCAATCAAATTTCTGTTTTTGGAAGCAGTTTGACGCAGCGGGAACGGTTTGGTTTCCCAACCTCGAGGTCGGGTTTCAACCCCTCACTCTGCATTTCTCTTGTGTCCTTGAGCAAGACACTTTATCTGCATTGCTTCTCTCCACCCAGGAGGATAAATGGGTACCTGGTGAGGTTTCCTGTTCCTGCGCTGATTACCAGCAGCAACGCTTAGCATGTGGACCAAATGACCAGGGAAAAGAACTGCTCATTATAACTGCAATGAAGAGGTGCATTATAAATGCCCATAGCAGTAGCACTGCTAAATAAAGGAGGTTGAAAAAATGACTTACTGTACAGCTCATATGTAAAGATGTACCAAATTTCTTTTACTTATCACTACCATTCTACAGCTCAAATCCTAAACTCTACTCAGCAAATGCATCATTCAAAAGCTTCACTCAACAACCCAACTTAACAGCTCAAATCCACAGATCTACTCAACAGCTTTATACCTAAATTCCTTTATACAACTACCAGTACTTAATTTTCCACTCAAGAATTCTAATCCACCTAATTTGTTATTCACTTACATATACCCAGCGGTGCATTCTGTACAGCTTGTGTTGCCTTGAAGTGAGTAGTAACCTGTTAAGCATGGTACAGGTGTTGATTCACGGTCAATGCACTCATACCCAGCTGGACACGGGGTACATGACACAGCACTTGTCTCATTCGCAAAACTACCATCTTCACAACTGTTTTCAAGATTTAGAAAATAAGTGAATTCAGTATATGGCATGATTGGTAATATCAAACAAATATGCAAATAAGTTTACAATTGATTTGATATATGTTTAAGACAACATATGTTTACAACACACATTTAAAACAAAACATGTTTAAACACAACAAATAATCATAAGTCATAGGTTTAGCCTTTAAGTTGCAAGTGAATAATATAAAAAAAAAAACTGAACCTGAAATTATTAGGACAAGACATGTTTAAGACAACACATGTTTTATTTAACACGATTTTTAATGCAACAAAAAATAACACAACATATGTTTAGGACAGCATGCACTCACAGCAGCAAATGTTGAAGACAACACAGTACATTTAAGACACGACAGTCAAGGTCAACACATTTTTTAGGACAAGACTTTTTCAATAAGACAACACAAGTTTAAAGACAACATGTTAAGACAATACGTTACATACCTTATCTGTTCAGATAGTCCATCCACTGGAACATAAAAACCCACATCACTTGCAGAGCAGGCAGTGCTGCCATTGATAGAGTAGGAACCAGCAAGACACTGTACTGGTGCTATGGTGTTGTTGCTGCACTCGTAGCCCCCAGGGCAGAGGATACACGATGAAGCACTTCCCAGAGAGTAATAGCCATCAATGCATGGTACTGGAACTAGTGGAGAGATGTCACAATTTAATAGTTTAATTACAGTTACATACTTTGTATTGAAATAAATTGGGCTCATTTCAGCATTTTACATAGCGTATTCAATCAATCAATCGCTGGTATTTATATTGCACCAAATCCAAACGATTTTCTGCTCAGTGTCACATCCATGAAAATCGAAAAAGCCTGTAGTGCCTTAAAATGGTCCAATTTATACACAGTTAAAAGGGGAGAAAATAGAAACAAATTTTCAAACTCAAAAAGAAATCTTCAGGAGTGATTAAAATTGAGGGAAGTTTGTAGAATAATGGAAAGATTGTGGTAGATTATTCTAGAACTCTGGTGCTTGTGTAAAGATGCCCTTAAGCCTGTTTTCTAGTAGGTGAATAAAAAGCGTTAGTTCATGTGCATGCGCATTCGCATTTCTATCGGAGTTTTTCGTTTCAGTGAAATCAATAGTTTGAACAGTTTTTATTTAATTTAATAAATATGCCTAGTGAAAAACAGGCTTTAGCAACAGGTTTCAGATTACATAGCTACTATGTAAATACATCCCTACTGACATGATGCCAATTATTGCTCAAGAATCAAATTCAGGTATATTAACTCTGTTTTCTTTCTTTGATGTCATACTAGCATAACACTATTAATGCTTTATTTGTCATGATAAAGATTTTATTATAAGCTAATGTAAACTCCGTTTGCACTGCTATGTTAGTAACTGTCTGATAAACCTAGAATGAATGCATTTTAAAAATTATACTGTATTTAATGAAAATGATATTAATTATATGGAACAAATCATTTACTCAAATTCTGATCAGATTCTTACCTGTGGTAGGGTCCATACAGGATGAGCCTGCAGGACAAGCTGTGCAGGAGGATTCTTGCCCTGTACTATCAGCATAAGACCCCTCAGGGCATGGGCTACAGAAAGTTGCCCCAGCCATACTACAAATACAATTTAAGAACATTATTATTGTGATGAGTGAATTTTACACAGTGTGTTCAATCAATATTGAAAAAAAAAGACTGAATAAGTGGTAAGCTTCAATTCATCTGTAACACACAGCAACACAAATGAAACAAGGAACAAGCTGGTTCTTTATATCTGTCTCTTATACACATCTAGATTATCATTGTTTTCACTGTCATAACTTTAAAATTCATTATTTCTGTATATATTATCATTACCATTAATACAAATACATCACACAAATCAGAAGTAATGCCTATAAGAATCTGGCTTAAATCAGTTTACCCAGGTAAGTATTCACAAAATAGACACAGAGAATATTAATAGACATTTTACATTAAATCATTCAAGAAAATATCTGATGTATATCCCAAAAAACATTACCTGAATGTTCCTGGCAGGCATAGCACAGGGTCTGCCATGGTGTTCTCACAATAAAATCCACTTGGACAAGTCTCACAGTCAGTTAAACCTATTATTATTAAAAATATCAATAAATTATTTATGCTTTCTACAAATAATTACAAATCCAGAAAAATAAATATAATAAATATCATTATGCTTAAAAAAGAGAAATTTGTAGAAGAATTGTAGAAAATTACTAATGAACACGACAAAAGCAATTCAGAAAATATCTAAACTTATAAACCCACCTGTGCTATTAGCATACTCCCCAGCAAGACAGGTGGAGCAGTTTGTTGCACCTGGTTTACTATAGCTGCCACGAATACAAATGATGGGGGTAAGGTGTGGTGATGGACACTTCCATCCAGCTTCACATTCAGTACATTCAGTGGATCCAGTATTATTGGCATAATATCCTAAAGAATTAAAATTGGAAGAATTGTCTTAAGGTATTAAAATTGCCGCATAGATTGGATCTCTTGTAAGTTTATCAATGTTCAGTGGTACTTAGTTCAAACCTTAAATAAAATTAATGAATGAATGTTGCCTTTTGTGTCTTTTATGAATGTTATATATTATGATACAAGATAATGTAGTGAATATATAAGCAACCATGTTCAGGGTACAACAGACACTGTATGATTGACCTATCACCTTCTTGACACTGTAGTGGACTGCTCATACGCTCATATGGACACTGGAAGCCGGCCTCACAAATCTCACAGATATCACTTGCATTGTACGCATAAGTTCCTGACTGACATTCCAGTGGGGCAGAAGCGCCTGGGCACTCAAATCCCCCTGGGCAAGGGAGACAACTTGATGATGCACTGTAGCTATAGTAGCCCGGCTGACAAGGTGTTGAACTTGTGAGGGAGCACTCGTAACCTTCTTCACAGCTGTAGCAATCACTGAGGCCAGTTTCATTGGAAAAATGACCTATAAAAACACAATATATCCATGACTCATTAATTAAAATCTAATGTAAGTGTGTTCAAATAATAAAATTTAATTTTAACTTTTATAAAAAAAAAATGCTTAAATTATTCCCATTAAAAAAAACCCCTCACATATAGCATACAAATATTTATATACATTATACAAATTGATTAGAAAACCTTGGAATATCCCATATCTTTTTCTATTAAAACAAGTACAGTAGTGCATACAGTATATGACCACTGCTTTTTAATAATCCTTATAAAGATCAGATAGCATATCAAGAAATAAGTAATGAGAATATGTCAGAGTCCCAACCAATCACATCGTAATAGATCAAGATTTTTCAAAAGGTATGCAGAGGGTAGAAAGTCTATTATGGTTTTACCAAAAATAATGACAGAACAGACAAAATTTGAAACTTAAAAATACATTGCAGTCAATAACATTCGTCAAATTAAATGAACTGAAATGAACCTTAACACATTCTATTTTACAGAAAAACTCTATTACCACCAAGAATATCTGTGCAAGCGATGTATACTCAAAAAGGGAAAAAAGGTATATGAAATGTAAAAAATTATGGAAGAAAGGAAATGGAATGAATTAATAAAGGGTGATTAACTGTGGAAAAATACTAGTATTAATGAAAACTAGTTAATTTACCATATTATTCTACACATCTGCAATTGACAGTTCATCCATGGAGGAATTACCCATGGTTCATCCAACTTTATTTCCTCCATAAATTGTTGCACAAAAACATGCTCCTGAGTTACTTAAACTGTTTATCTGATTTGTGATCCACCCTTCCCCAGCACCAATCATGATTATCCTTTGATAACACATTTGTTTACACCAGCAACTGTTAATCCCCTCATCTGCATATTTTAGCATTTTTAATAATTACACTCCCATGGTTTTTTTTTAATATTGAAGATAAAAAGGATGAAATGTTATGAAATATTATGTTTCTTAAAGTTTGTTTATTCTGTAAAAAAATGCATTTTATCACACAGAATTGTTCAAACTGGGAGGTTGGGGTTAGAATACCAGTACTACTACATAAATTTTAAATGTGAATTTCAGTTTGTTTTCTTTAAACTGTTTCCTCATTTTAATTATTAATAACATTTAATAATGACAAGATTAATAACATAAAAACAGATTCTGATTATATTTCTTGGAGTTTGTTTATTTTGTTTAAAAAAGGCACTTTACGCACAGAATGCTTCAATCTGTGATGATGGGGGTTAGAATACAAGAAGGTTACTAGTCCTTTGACTTCAGTTGGCATTTTTTAAAACTTGTTTCCTCATTTTAAATATTAATAAAATTAAATTTAATAATGAAAAGATTAATAACATAAATAATAGATTCTCATTAAGATGAGATAATTACCTTCTTCACAGATAAGAGGTTCTGTCAGACCTGCAGTTGGACATTCGTATCCCACTTCACATTGCTTGCAACTCTCACTCCCATTGATGGCGTAATGACCAGCTGTACATATTTCAAGCCCAGCACCACCCCCTGAACATGAATAACCACCAAGGCATGGCATACATTCTGTTGCACCAGCATAACTATAGTAACCAGCCTCACAAGCTGTCTGATTGGTTAGTGAACAATAATAGCCTTCATCACATTCGGTACATGTTGTTGCCCCGGAATCTGAATACCAGCCTAAAATACATATTCACATTACAAATATTATAAATAAGAATCTGACTACAGGACATACTACATTAAAATTACTACAAATTTAAATCTATTGTGATGCACCCAAACAAATTCTAAAAATTAAATTACGACTTGGAATTGCTTATTTAAAGAACCACATAATGGTTTTAACTTTCTGTATATTACATAACAAAACAAAATTAGTTTTTGATGATTTTCTGTATATATTTAACTACCAAAAGTCCTTTAATTGTTTGACAGAAATCAAAGGGTATATTTTTCGGTGAATTTACAAATTTATAATATAATTTTACAAGATAATATTGCATTGTAGATGAAACATTTAATTATCATCATTTTCTGATATAACTACACAAATTGCTCGAAAACTTTATAATAATCATTTTTGTTGCTGTAAGTGTGTTTCAATTATACATAAATATTTTAGAAAATCAAATAAACAAAATATAATTATCAAAGAAAAGATTCATAAATATTGATATACAAATTTCAATACAACAAATAGATCAATTTACAACATAATACTGTATGGGAAGTTCTGTATACATAAATGCCGCAACCATATAATAACAGAATATTTACAATGCAAAGAAAATTGAAGTAAGCAAAAAATGACAAGTTAGCAGCATATAAATGACATAGCTGAATTTTGTATAAAATAAAATGGAATTAAACAATTAAAATCATACTAGGAACAATTAAAACAACAAAAAATCTGAAAAGTACAGTAATGTAAAAAAGATTATTATGCAAATAAAATTTAGGGAAGCAAACATGATAAGTTAGCAGCATATAAATGACAGTTGAAACTTGTATTAAAAATTAAACTCTAAAAATCCTATTAAACAATTAAAATCATCAAAAAATCTAAAAGTAATGTAAAAATGATTATTATAAAAATTGTTAAAATAAATGCAAATGAAATAATGTAGCATACACAAAATTTGTTTTTGTTTGATCTGAAAAAAAATTTAAAAAATGTATACTGATAAAATAGTAGCTCACAATAACAAAATTCACAATGGGCACTAGGCTTTGCTGGGTGAACTGATCATAAACAATTGAAAGAACTTTGGGAGGGCATCACATGAAAATATTATTACAAAACAAATGGCGACAATGCACAATTGTGACGCTGAGGAAAAAATTGAATTATGCAAGTTGTGTTGAAAAAATATTTAGCACAAATTATATGAAAGTACACTGGGACAAAACACAATTGTGAAAGCACATAGACACATGCAGTGGCATGGATACTTTGTCGCATGAAAATCACCTTCAGAACATAATTGAGGTTGCGATAATAATCCAGTAGGGCACTCATATCCAGCATCACATTCACTACAAGATGAGCTGCCATTCGGAGCATAAAAGCCTGTTGTGCATTTGATAGGCGTTACTCCACCTGGGCACTCATAGCCACCGGGACAAGTGGAACATGATCTTGAAGCAGCGTAGCTATACTGTCTCGGAGGACAGCTCATTTCAGTAGTAGGAGTGCAAAATGATCCTGCACTGCATTCATAACATATGTTTAAGCCAGTGTCATTAGCAAACCAACCTATTATTGAAAATTAAAGTGATAAAGAAAATTATGTTTTGAAATTTATAAATATAATTATATTCATGGTAAATTAAATCTTCAGTTAAGAATATTTTTAAGTTCTTTGTGAAAAGAAAATGAACTATAAGATGGCTTGCATATGTCTATGTTTTTTAAATGCTATAGAGTAAGTTTGACACTTCTAGGGTTCAAATATTAATTACCGTTTTATGGATTACATGTTGTGAATATTATTGTCATGAAAATGTTAGTGATGACTTTATTCACCTTCTGGGCAGGGTGAAGGCTCCATCATGCCTGGTATGGGGCACTCATGACCAATGTCACATGATGTGCATGAGCTGTCTCTTATACACATCTAGATGTGTATAAGAGACAGGAATATGTCAGAGTCCCAACCAATCACATCGTAATAGATCAAGATTTTTCAAAAGGTATGCAGAGGGTAGAAAGTCTATTATGGTTTTACCAAAAATAATGACAGAACAGACAAAATTTGAAACTTAAAAATACATTGCAGTCAATAACATTCGTCAAATTAAATGAACTGAAATGAACCTTAACACATTCTATTTTACAGAAAAACTCTATTACCACCAAGAATATCTGTGCAAGCGATGTATACTCAAAAAGGGAAAAAAGGTATATGAAATGTAAAAAATTATGGAAGAAAGGAAATGGAATGAATTAATAAAGGGTGATTAACTGTGGAAAAATACTAGTATTTCGCATTCACTGCAAGATGAGCTGCCATTTGGAGCATAAAAGCCTGCAGTGCATTTGATAGGAATTACTCCCCCTGGGCACTCATAGCCACCGGGACAAGTGGAACATGATCTTGAAGCAGCGTAGCTATACTGTCTCGGAGGACAGCTCATTTCAGCAGTAGGGGTGCAAAATGATCCTGCACTGCATTCATAACATATGTTTAAGCCAGTGTCATTTGCAAACCAACCTATTATTGAAAATTAAAGTGATAAAGAAAATTATGTTTTGAAATTTATAAATATAATTATATTCAGGGTAAATCAAATCTTCAGTTAAGAATATTTTTAAGTTCTTTGTGAACAGAATTTGAACTATAAGATGGCTTGCATATGTCTATGTTTTTTAAATGCTATAGAGTAAGTTTGACACTTCTAGGGTTCAAAATATTAATTACCGTTTTATGGATTATATGTTGTGAATATTATTGTCATGAAAATGTTAGTGATCACTTTATTCACCTTCTGGGCAGGGTGAAGGCTCCATCATGCCTGGTATGGGGCACTCATGACCTATGTCACATGGTGTGCATGAGTGACTTGCATTTCTTGAGTAAGTTCCTTCGCCACACATTATTAAATCTACCCCACCACCACCTGCACATGCATATCCACCTGGACAAGCATCGCATTCTGTTGCCCCGGCAATGCTATAGTAACCAGCGTCACAAGCTGTTTGATTGGTCAGTGAACAGTAATAACCTGCATTACATTCTATGCACTCACTGGCCCCTGAATCTGAATACCAACCTAATGTGCGGTATGAATACATAAAACATTTAAACTACCACATTTCTAAAAGAATTTTTAAGTACAGCAAAGGTGATTAAATGACAATATCAAAATATAGAAAATGACACATTGTTGCTTTTGCATGAATTAATAAGCAGATGCATAGTGGCTTTCTTTTGTTATAAGTATGTACATAAGCAAGGAGGAAAAAAAAAAAAAAACCAATTAAAATCACCTTCAGAACATGGTGCTGGTTCTGATAATGCTGAAGTAGGGCACATAAAACCAGCATCACATTCACTGCAAGATGAGCTGCCATTTGGAGCATAAAAGCCTGCAGTGCATTTGATAGGAATTACTCCCCCTGGGCACTCATAGCCACCGGGACAAGTGGAACATGATCTTGAAGCAGCGTAGCTATACTGTCTCGGAGGACAGCTCATTTCAGCAGTAGGGGTGCAAAATGATCCTGCATTGCATTCATAGCATATGTTTAAGCCAGTGTCATTAGCAAACCAACCTATTATTGAAAATTAAAGTGATAAAGAAAATTATGTTTTGAAATTTATAAATATAATTATATTCAGGGTAAATCAAATCTTCAGTTAAGAATATTTTTAAGTTCTTTGTGATCAGAAAATGAACTATAAGATGGCTTGCATATGTCTATGTTTTTTTAATGCTATAGAGTAAGTTTGACACTTCTAGTGTTCAAATATTAATTACCGTTTTATGGATTACATGTTGTGAATATTATTGTCATGAAAATGTTAGTGATGACTTTATTCACCTTCTGGGCAGGGTGAAGGCTCCATCATGCCTGGTATGGGGCACTCATGACCTATGTCACATGGTGTGCATGAGTGACTTGCATTTCTCGAGTAAGTTCCTTTGCCACACATTATTAGATCTACCCCACCACCACCTGCACATGCATATCCACCTGGACAAGCATCGCATTCTGTTGCCCCGGCAATGCTATAGTAACCAGCGTCACAAGCTGTTTGATTGGTCAGTGAACAGTAATAACCTGCATTACATTCTATGCACTCACTGGCCCCTGAATCTGAATACCAACCTAATGTGCAGTATGAATACATAAAACATTTAAACTACCATGTTTCTCAAAGCAATTTTTAAGTACAGCAAAGGTGATTAAATGACAATATCAAAATATAGAAAATGACATGTTGTTGCTTTTGCATGAATTAATAAGCAGATGCATAGTGGCTTTTCTTTGTTATAAGTATACATAAGCAAGGAGCAAAAAAACCAATTAAAATCACCTTCAGAACATGGCGCTGGTTCTGACAATGCTGAAGTAGGGCACATAAAACCAGCATCGCATTCACTGCAAGATGAGCTGCCATTTGGAGCATAAAAGCCTGCAGTGCATTTGATAGGAATTACTCCCCCTGGGCACTCATAGCCACCGGGACAAGTGGAACATGATCTTGAAGCAGCGTAGCTATACTGTCTCGGAGGACAGCTCATTTCAGTAGTAGGGGTGCAAAATGATCCTGCACTGCATTCATAGCACATGTTTAAGCCAGTGTCATTTGCAAACCATCCTAAATTTATAACAGAAAGGTCAATAAATAAAAGTTTCTTTCATTAAAATGCGTTATATTTATCTAAAATTTTAAGTGAGGGTGAAATCAAAAACATGTTCCTGCAAACTGATAGGTAGATACTCAATATGAATTCAGTTAATGCAATATTAGTCTATTTGGTAATTAATAAAATTAAAAAACTTACTTAAAAGCAATTGCAGTATACAGTAGTAGTATATAAAGCATAATACTTTGAAGAACAATAAAGTCAAGAGCAATTTATTCACCTTCTGGGCAGGGTGAAGGCTCCATCATGCCTGGTATAGGGCACTCATGACCAATGTCACATGATGTGCATGAGTGACTTGCATTTCTTGAGTAAGTTCCTTCATCGCAAATTCTTAAATCTGTCCCACCACCTGCACATGCATATCCACCTGGACATGCATCGCATTCTGTTGCCCCGGCAATACTATAGTAACCAGCGTCACAAGCTGTTTGATTGGTCAGCGAACAATAATAACCTTCAGTGCATTGTGTGCACCCAGTGGCCCCTGAATCTGAATACCAGCCTATGTATACCACATAACAGTAATATATAAAGCAGATGCTAAGCATAAAATATATATATACTGTAAAAACAGAACCTGATGAATAAAAAATGATATTAGCAGAATACATCCAGAAGATGTAATCTTTCCTTTTGATCTTCGAATGGCTAGAAATTTCAACCAAAACTTTTCTGCCACTGGTAGAGAAAGATGATGTTAGAAGCCTGTAAAAAAGGTCAGATTTCTACAAAAATCTAAAATGCATGTTAAGTATTAATTTTCATAATGAACTAATGATAATAAAAATAATTATTATAATATTATAATAATACTAAATATTAATAATAATAAAAATGTGTTTACCTGATTGGCACTCTATTGGCAATGCCATTAGATCAACTGGACATTCATATCCAGCTTCACAAGTGCTACAGGCATCACTTCCATTGATTGCATAAGTTCCAGCTGAACAGGGTGAGAAACTAGCTCCCCCAGGGCATGAGTATCCCCCTGGGCATGCCTCGCAGGATGTAGCCCCTTCAAAGCTATAGTAACCAGCTATACAAGGTGTTTCTGCTGTAGGTGAACAGTAGTAACCAGCGGTACATCTTGTGCAGTTCTCAGCACCCACTGATGAGAAGTGGCCTAAAAAAACACATTTTATAAAAATTCCATTAGTGTCGCAGCTGAAGCAAAAATATCAATAATAAATAATATTTGCAAAACATAAGAAGTATCAACTAACTATTATCAGGATTCAATGATTTGCAGTCAATTACAAAAAGCTATTGAAGTATTATACAGTGATTACAACATCAAGACTATATCCAATTTATTTGTTTTGAATAGATGTTTTCACCCATATATTTTGGTTGGTAATTTGTGACCACAGGGCTAAAATTCATGCTTAAAGTATCAGATTTATTAAAGAAATATTAAACTAATACTGGCTTCTTCTTTGTTAAAAATATATATATTTATTAAAAACCACCAACCTTTTCTTTACAAGATTTTGTGTCAGTCCTTGGACAACGTAATATCATCTTGACATTATAAAACGAATTATCCAATCCAATGAGAACATTTGTAAAGCGCCTTTCTTCGCAGATACGAAGCGCTGAATTATAATTAATAATAAATGATATTAAGAATGCTATGTAAGTATAACAATTTCCAACCTGTTTCACACGAACTACATGCTGTTGAATCGCCAGGGCTAAATTGACCGGCAAGGCACTGGACTGGCACCACACTAGGATCCGAACATTCATGTCCAGTTGGACATCTCTCGCAATCAAGCTGATTGGTCCGATTTTGGTACATACCCTCAGGACAGCTAATAGGTTCAGACAGGCCATTAGATGGACATTTATACCCTGTGAGTGAATGTATAACAGTGATCAACAAACAATATTTTTATTCAATCATTACTACTGTATCAAATAAAATGAAATATATATTTCTTTTAAAAAGCCAATAAAATGACAAGACAATTTAGCAGCAAGGTAGAGTTTTTAGCTGGGGCAAAATGTGATGTTTAATTAACTAAATCTCATTAACAAATTATACCGATCAATAAATTCTTTTAGTTATGAGAATAAGACATTCTGTTTTTTTAAATTTTATATATATTGGTGCACAAGTACAGTATCAAGTTATTGACCTCCAATACAACCCTGTTAGGCTTCATAAACTAAAGCCTTGTTCGCACTGGATTTAAAAAATGGTAAATTTAACCAGGGTAACTTTAACCAAAGTCATGGGTACATTTCACCATTGTTCGCACTTGGATTATTCACGCGGTTAGTTTTACCATAGTTTTACCAAGATTTAACCTATATAAAAAATATTATTGAGGGCGCTAGTTTGTGTCTTCAACTTCCGGTTTTGTTCGAGCGGTGTCAACATGGAAGAAGTTTTAACCGTGTTGCACGTTCGGATTGGACTTCTTGACCAACGTGGTTAGTTTAACCGAGACCGTGGTAAGTTTTACTGGGCAGGCTGAGGTCAGTAAATTAACCATTCGGCTTGGTTAATTTAACCCTGAGGGAATTGTAACCGACGTTCGGATTGGATTTTTTTTGGTCAATTTAGCCAGTGACTCGGTTAATTTGACCAAATTAAGTCCAGTGCGATAGGGGCTTATGACTCACAACTTGGCAGGGTCTGAATTTCCTCAAAATGCTCCATCAGCAAATAGTTGCTGTGGCGTTACTACAGCATTTATACTTCTTCTACAACAACAAGCTTTGTAAATTATTTTAAGGCCTATTCTATAAATGCAAGTGTATAATCCATTGTAGGCCTGGTCTGGATTAGGCGACTTGACAGCAAAAAGCTTGCTTTCGAGCCTGGGATTTTAAACAAAGCACTGGAAGGCCCTTCGGTGCTGTGGGGAAATTCTAACCCAGCATGGGTTATGAAGTGTGGATTTGACAGGATTTGAACCCAAGACCCTGAGATTATAAGGCAAGCAACTAATAGCTGCACTACTAGATATTGCACCATTATACTGGGTGCAATCCCTTTATGACATCAAGATAGTCTCTTTGATTCCTCATTAATTGTGCACAGCATGTTTATAAATTTTTAATTTAATTTGGATGGATTATTTTTAAAGAGTATAATATCTAACAATCAATCTATAATCAACAAATCAGTCACAAAATTAGTGAATCAATCAATAAATAATCAATCAATAATTAGGTTAATCAATTAGTAAATTGAACAATAGATTAATCATTTAATCACTTAATTAATCAATCAAATAATAAGTCAATGGCTGGTATTGTGTAAAAAATATTTCCCTCCACAATATTGTCCACACATCATAAGCATCTTTTTATGGATGTTGGTGTTATACAAAATATTTACTAGAGTAGACTATACACTAAGGACTCACCTGCAGGGCATGATTGGCAGGCAACTGTTCCATTATAGGCATAGGTTCCTGCTACGCACACCTCACAGCTGAGCTGGTCAGAGGCCGGAATATATCCACCTGGACAAAACTAAAGAATGCAATTAGAAAAAACTCGCTTTTAAAATGACAACATTGAATTCAAAATGAAATAAATGAATTTAAAAATACTATAAATATGGTTGAGTGTCTTATTTTTCAGAGTTTTAAAACAAATTTATGGTCTTTCTACTTCCATAAATTTTACTGTAGCGCAAGGACAATTATGTGTTGGCCTATATTATATCAAACCTATACATTTCTACTCTTTATGTGAGGGGCCCTTTCAGTCAGCACTGCCGTTAGGGCCACCCTCCTATTGTTGAATAAAATCTTATACTTGAAATGTCAACAAATCAATCTTAAATTTATTGAGAAAGCTAACATAGCTAGAACTGGTTTTAGATACTATGTGTGTTCTAGATTAGCACATACATTTATGGAACAACATGACGCTTGTTACGAAACATACATTAGTACAAACACTTTTCTTGATACAAGCAAGTGAGGTCTTAGCTGGTATAATCGTCAGTTTACAAGCAGGGGTGGCATTCCCTCTGCTGTAGGTTTTGCCGCTCAGTGACAAGGATTTACTGAGTTTCCGTACTTACCAGTGGCGCATTGGCTGTATCTGCACAGTAGTATCCTGATGGACATGGGGAACAAACAACTTGCCCAGCTAAGGAATAAGAACCACTTCCACATGCAGTTGATGTGCCATTGTCAAGACTACATGAATATCCCGCAGGACACACAGTGCATGACCCCTGACCTTGTACACTATAGGCACCATCGTCACAACTCTGAAAAATAGATATATAAAAACAGTTAAATTCAAGCTCAGAAAAATATATGCAAAATATCATTCTGCTAAATTGTCAAATAAAATTCATTTATGTCAAACATTATGATTAACTAAACAATTAAAATGTTTAAATATGAATAAATTCCATTCTTTAAATAATAAAGCCCTGTCCAATCAGATTGTATGAGACAAAAAATGTGATATGCCCATATCCCTTTAATTGTGAACTTACAGTATATAGCATATATTATATAACAATATACAAATTTGTCACATAAAATGTGATAGTGTGAACATCGCTTTACAGTAGCCTAGAGATTTTGTTCATAATTTTTCCTACCAAACAATCCAAATCACTTGACGATCCATTGTTAACATTGAATTCTCCAATTTCACAGGCAATTTTGGGATTTTCTGCACCAAGACAACTAAAAAGGAAAATATAAAAATGTAATTTCTAATTAGATATTCAACCAATAAAAAAATTGTTTGAACACGAAAATCAAATGTAATTTATGGAACTTTTTTGAGTTAGAAAACAATCTTAAATTTAAAATACATTCTGCTTTAAAAAAACATCACAGAGTTTTCAATCCTGTACGTAGAACATTTAGTGTTTAAGTTTTTAATTCTTATAGGAGTAAACACTTTTTTTTTCATCAAAAAAAATCCATGGCAGGGACAGGCAGAATAGAAGTTATGTTTATTGAAATTTCCAATTTTTTACAAAAGTGGGCGAACTAAATAGCTGAAAAGAAAATCTTCAATTCAGGGGCTAGTGACAGATTATTTGCGGTACAAGTTACAAAAAAAGTTTCCCCTAACCCAGTACCTTTTACTTCTGCTGTTTAGTTATAAAGAATTAAAATTCAAATCTGTCAAACACTATACAGGTCTAGATACTCTCAATAAATCCCTCCAATTATAAACCACCTCAAATTAAAGACTCCTCCAATTAACACCACCTGCAATTAAAGACCCCTTTTCTATGGTCCCTAATTAACTTCATGTCACTTCTCTGGCTCATGCATGAGTGGGAAATTTATCATTTACCTGCTAAAAATAAACTGCCTATTTACACAAGCACTTGCAGGCTTGTAGTTGCCTAGCAACTGAATGACAACATAAGTAAGCAAGTATTGTTGCTTTATTGAAAATCATAATGTGTTCAGTCTGGGTAGAATAATAGAACCAGGATATATTAAGTGTATTGTGTTGGTTTATTTAACTGGCTATTTTTCTCAGAAGGTTTTCACTGATCATTTTGGGGGCAGCCTACAACATTGTGCGATGTTTTTATATACAATATTTGTTTTGTATTGTATTCAATATTTATATTAAACATCGACCTGATATACCTCCAAGTCAGAGATCTGTCTGAATATCAGATTTCAATGTAGATGATTAATTGAAATACTGTAGAATGGGGGTGTTTTTAAAATAGAATAGATCAATTCAGATAAACAAAATCCAGATAAAAAAGGCTAATATTGTGGTTGTTTGCTGAAAATCAACATTGTTTTTAATAATAACCTTTTAAATTTTGAAGCCATATTAAGATTTAAATACATTTTTTTATGTATTAAAAATTGCTTTATTTTATAAACTTCAAAATCATTTTAAATATTCATCAAAAATTTCTGTATTATATATTCTTTTGTCTATATAAAAGGTTTCAAATTCTGTAATCAATTTGATGAAACTGATAACAAAACTTTATTGTAAGCAGGAGTGCTGAGAGTAGCTTTGGACCCAGGGGATCAAATGATGGGGGATCTGAAGGCAAATTAATTCTAAAAATTGAGCCTGCTATATTGACTTGTTATGTTGATCAAACGAAATATTTTCACAATTTAAAGTTTTAAATATTTTTTTTGTCCTGGTCTGCTGCCCTGAGCAACAACTCTGTGCCCTGGCACTGGCCCTGCCAGTCGCTCTCATCTCAGTGATAAAGTTTGAAACATACAATTTAAAATGTCCTACATGAAATCTACATACTGTCTGTAAACTGTAAACATGGCAAAATGATATGATCAGCGTGTACAGCAGGTATTGATTGACAATTGATTGTTAATTTAAAGAGGGCCTATTGTTATGGGTCATTACACAAGCGGTGAGTGAAGGTCATTAACGTTTTGTTTGGATGATCTCAACCCCAGTACTGAAGTACCTGTGTCTAATGAAGACAACATGAAGGACATACTCAAATGTTAACAACAAACAGATACAATTGTCAGGAACAATACCAGTATAATTATTATTTTTAAAATGATGAAATAAAAACTTGTCGGTGATAATTCAATTTAAATATAATAATTTTAAATATGTGGCAAAGACAAGCCAAACCAGTCACTCGTCGCAAATCGTGTTTCAGAGAAAATGGCCAAATCATGATGGAATGTCAAATTATTGAAAATCTATTTTATTGCACTAAACTATCTTTTGTATACCTACACATCACTCTATGCTGTTATTTCCCAATGTACAGTGTTAAAACAACATTTTTTAAGGATTTGATGATAGTTTCTACATGAGAAATGCCTGAAATCGTAAACTTTGAAGGCTGATTTCTCATATATAGTTCTTTAAACAGCTGTGTGTTTAAAAGCTTGTAACTTCATAAGGATATGTCCGATTTGAATGATTTTTTTTACCATTTTATAGCTATTATTTTACTCTCTAACACTGTATTAATAACTCAAAATCGATATTTGCGATGAGTGACTGGTTTGGCTTGTCTTTGCCACATATATTGTAGTTTAATTTCACCATATCTACAGTAAGCTACGGCTTTGTTGCATGGGGTAACTAGGAACAGTACCACCTAAACAGTACACATTAAACAGTAAACATTTAGTACAGAAGCGAGCAAATCCAAGTTGCCTGTAGCACTGAATTTTACGCTCATACTGCTCATTTGTTTAAGATCTTAGAAGTTTTTTCTGTTATTTTCATGTTTCATGTATACCATAGATCTTCCCCCTAATGCAATCATAACTGCTTTCTCTAAAAATAACCAAATCCACAGTCACTCTACCAGACAATCTAATGACTTTCATTTACCTATTGCTCATACTGCTACTATTCGACTCTGGCCCTTTGATATGGAATTCCCTTCCCTTTACCATACAAAACAAACATCATTGCTTCAGTAAAGGTTAACAAAATTGTAGACATTAAGTCTTTTTCTTTTCTTTCTTAAAATGGGTCTAATTTGTACTGAGCATTACAATAACATTTTGCAAGTAGTGCAATATAATTCACTGAATACCGGTACACTCTCAATGATGGGCCGATGCGCACTGTGCACTTCACTGTGGACTAAGCGCCAAGTGCGTATATTGATTTGGAACAGTTCATTTATAATTTATCGTGTTTCCACAGACAATTTGAACAAGCTCATTAACTAATTTTTCTATTAGTGGACGCTTGGCTTGATTTTTTTAGGTTCGTGTGCAAAAAAAAAATTCCTCATTTTTTCGACATCGTGCACCGCAATAAAAATTGAATTGTAATTGAAAATTACTTTTGTAAAACAAGGTTAATTAGAACCTGAAGAAAGTTACTTTAAATTCAATATTAAGTATGAACAATTAAGCAATTCCTTAAATCAATGAACTATAATAATCTAAACAAACTGAACGTTTAATAGGAATATTCTAGACCTATTTTAAAGACTCAAGGAACGAAAGATGTAGAGCTGCCGAGGTCTCCTCCTACTACTAGCCTAGGCCGTATAGCCTAGCGTATTTATGAAATCATCCCAAGATTTTTACCTGTCTGCACCAACCAAAAAGTTAGGGACAGTGACTGTATTCTCTCTCGAATGCTTTGAAAAATGTTTATTTCTTTGACGAATATGAAAAATTACAAACAAGTTCTTCTAATACAATACAAATTACAAAATAGCCTAGGCCTAGTTATTCATCGTATCCGTACAGTACTGCTGATGTGTAGTTAACGCATAGGTGCTGCCTACTGCAGGAGCACAAATCAGCATACGCACAAAATATAAATACGCACACAGTATACTGATCATATCACTATAGCAACCGATGACTGGTACAACACAGTTGGTTATAAAAACTAATATTAAAAGACGGCGATTGACTTATAAAGCAATTAGTAGAGCATGCATCGTAAACTAGCAGAAAATTATTAAACTTAGGTTAAATTTAATGCATTAAAAATTTCCTTCGGGTCTTGCAGGCACTCAGGAAATTTTTTCAAGCATTAAATCTAACCTTCATATAATAATTTTCCTATAGTGTACTATGCGGAGCTCTACTAATTGCTTAATAAGGTACAGTATTTATTCATATTCCAATACAAATATAATATTTGTTATCAAACTACTATACCACAACAAGCCTAGCACACAGTCATTCTCCATCACTCACACATGCAGTAGCCTACACTTTAGAAAATGGAATTGTACAGCTCACACCGGCAGTGACGCGCGAATGGCTCAGAAAAACATGCTGTTTTTTTAATACAAAAACTGACATTTATAAACTGCTCGTACCGAAAAACCAAAATAAAACTTATATGATAAGAATCTCTATCTTTATCTCTAGCATATGATCAAAATCTTAGTGCTTAAAAGTACGGATAATGTAGTAATTTTGCCTGATATTCAAGAGAGCGCTGAATCCATGTGAGCATCTGGTGATGGATATATGTTTGTAATGCATGCGTCTAGGGAGGAGTTTTCAATAGATTTAATAAATCTGATTGGTCCACTAGTAAACCAATGAAAATCATGTATATCATATACCGTATATAATATATATAATATATATTTCTACATTTTCAATATTTACGCCTGCATTATCATGTTTATCGAGCACTGTACATTGCTAGTATTGCCAACTATATTTATTTATTATATATATATACATACATATACATATATATACATATATATGTATATATGTATATTTATATGTATATACATGTATATATATGTATATATATATACATATATATATATACACAGTATACATACACGATACATCAGCTTTTACTTCAGCTGCTTGAAACACTTGCGTTTCTTGAAAGTCTTAGGTATCTTCGGAATTTAAGCTGCACTCCTCTGACCATCTATAAATTAACAAAATGCATCCTTTCTAGAATAGTTACCTAAAGACACACCATTTCAAGCATTCTAAAATATCATTAACTTTTAAACTTCTATATTAATAAAATGTTAATCGTTTCAAACCTCTAACTTTATGCACAATTGTAGACCTACACATAATTATTGCTATACAGTAGTTTGACATTTAAATTTTACTTTATTGTTAATTCAACTACACACGGTAACAATGAACCGCTGTTTCCCAGTGCTACAGGTACTCAACCAATTACAGCACAGTTAGTGGTTACTAATCGGTAGGTATAGATTTTTGAGGGAAAAAGCTTTCAGTGGGAAACGACCAATAAAAATGAAGGTGATGGGTCAAGTACAATCTTAAGCCTATTTTGCATACACCGCCGTATATAAGTACAGTATTCGAAGGACTTCATTTGATAGACTCGTTTGGGTTTAGTATAAGAGGTAAAACAAAGGCCCTGCTTACTTGTCATACATAAACGTTTATTAAAAATACAAATAGGCAGGGTGTATCTACGCAGTACAAGGAAGCCTTATTTGACATTTTATTATGACGATAAGGAAAGCTGCTGAAAATAAGGAAAGAATGATCCAATTAACACCAGAAAATAACTTTGTATACATAACAGATGAACACATGTTTACCCACCTACTCCCTCTCTCTACCAAATATATATCAGGCGCGGATTTAGAAGGCTTTTAGAAGGCAAGTGGGTGGGCCTGTCGCTGAACAAAAGGAAAAACAAAAGAAATGGAAATAATTGGTCGCCATATATATATATATATTGCGAATGCAGAGCGTAATAATAATAATAATAGAAATGTTATGTATGTCAAGCGTTCTCAGAGAAATTATAAGTTTTAGAGTATCATTCATATATGCTGTCGATAGTTTGAATACTAACCAGGCCCATAACCAACGTAACTAACAAGAGGATTGATTTGAAATTATGTAAGGGGTAAAGAGGTGGTCCCATTAAGGGTTCCCAGAAAATGTGTGTTAGTAAGCATTCGGGATCACATCTTTCTATATAGGCCTATTCAGGGAATCTGGAAGGGAGAAAAATAGACGTTTACGTAAACGTATACAAACTTGGCGTATTCTAATGACGAGCTAATGTGGTTGCAAGAAGAGTGGACAGCCGTCGGCGTTTTGCTTCAACCTGCTGCTGAACTTTCAGTATGATGAAAAAAAAAAGAATATATATATATTCTTATATATATATACATAATATATACATATATACATATATATATATATATATATATATATATAAAAAAAATATCTCAATTTTTTGTGAAATATATATATATATATATATATATATATATATCTTTAATTTGTGTTGAAAGAATAGATGTGTTGAAATAATTATAGTCAGCCATGGTGGACTAACCACTATTAGTGCAATTTTATATTTTTATTATTTTTGATGTCTTTGAGGACAAAATAAATAAAAACAAAAAGAGAAAGAAATAATGGTTGGTGAAATCCCCACAAAGTGAGAGAAAAAAAATTACATTACATTCAATTTGATTACGGTACAACATGAATATATTAGATAATAATTAATAAAAGACTATCCTTACTAGTATCCAGGAGGACATATCTGGCAAACACCGGAATCATAATAATATCCCTGTGAGCAGTTGGAGAGGCAATCTTCTGTGCAATTACAAGTGGAAGCATCTACCACTCCACCTGGAGCTATGAGGAAAACAAATTTAAGAGTTTAGAATAAAAGCATAAGAAAAGCATACTGTCTTTTGGAAAGACGTTTTTGCTGTTGGTTCTCTGTGCAATATGAGACATGTAATGTGCATGTAAAAGAACGCAGTACACTCTTTGGAAACAGGTAGGGGAATTGTCTCCTGGCAAGGGTGTACCGTGGGGGGGGGACGATGGGTGTGGTTGACCCCCCCCCTTTTAAAGAAAGTGCCCTTTAAATATGATTTTTAAAAAAAATCTAGCATAATTAAACTGCGCCTAGCCCCAGCCTAGTTGCTCGTTTCACTCAAAAATAACGCACCCCGCGAATTCTGAAAGCTTCGCTAAATTGCTCCGAGTTCAGCTTGCCCCCTGCGCTTTCGTTTCGACCCCCTGATTAGATTTTTCACCGTACGCCCCTGCCTGGTGTACTGCCAAATTACGACCAGAACAGTGGAAACAAATTTTCAGACTTTCGTGGGTTACAGCATGGGCCTCTTAATAAGACATCCGAACCAAATGTGCTATTCTGTACTCTTTGCTTGTGTAACATTAACAAGTATGGCTGCTCATACTTTGATTACATACCTAGGCCTTTAATAAAGTCAGCATTAAAATTGGAACAACATCGTTTACAGTAGGCATATTATTTATATTTAAAAAAAATCATATACAAATTTTTAAAGATCTTGTTAAATAAAAAAATATGAATTCATAACTAAAAATTAAGTAAACACTGTAATCAGGGGTCAGTCAATAATTTCAGTGGTCAAGGCTAGCCTAGCCTAGACCCTGTGTCTGTAGTTTTAGGCCATGCCAAATGTATTAAACGTTGAAAACCAGAACCAGACAGAGGTGTACCTACGACGGTACCCCTACTAGTACTAGCTACACTTTTTTTTTTATAGAACCAGTAAAATTTTGCTCAGGCTCAGTGTTCTTATTTTTTGGCCAATTTCAGGCTCAAAATGTTCTTTATTTTGTTCTTATTTTACACATTTTTCAAAACATAGAAAATTATTTTTGTAGAGCAGTATATTGAACTGGGAGGTGAAAGCGGCCCTGCAAAATGGCCCCTGAAAGAAAGGCCCAGCAAAAAATGGCCCACAAAAAAAAGGCCCTGGTTAAAAAATGGCCCCAAATGGGAGGTAGGTACACCTACTGTACTGTATTATAGAGGGTATTGCATAGTCACACCTACTGCACATGAGGTACACATAAAATTTTTTAGTTTTTCTAGTTTGATATATTCTACCTCAGCCTCAATTTGTTCCTATTTTGTTCTTAATTTTTAAGCAATTTCAGCGTCAGTGTTCTTATAAAATGTGTTCTTATAAAAAAAAAAGTGTATTGAATTGTATAAACCAATTTAAGCATGTACTCACCAGTTACAATGGAAAGCAAAAAGAAAACAAGACAGAGTAAACTCGCTTTGGACACACGGTCCATTATATTTTGTATGGCCATTCCGCTAGGCCGAGTAATTCTCGTTGTACCCATGAACAGGGTCTGCGTGTCACCCTTTAGGGTGCTACTTCCGGTAACAAAGTCCGCAAACTTAAACAACCTCAAATTTCTACATTGTCTGGAACAAAATAAAATTTGTCGTTCTAGGCTAGGCTGCCGATCTTATTGAATAAAATCCTCTCAACTTCCACTATACTTTAAATATGTATAATTCTAGCACACAATACAATTATAATGTCGAAGCGATCACCAGTTTTAGCAAAAAAACACACTTGTGGGCCTAGGCCTACGAAAAATGTGTGTATGTTTACAGATATTTCTATCCAATATGGCTGCCCCCTGTAAGTGAATAACCAGCTTTGTAGTGACGTCAGAGCTTGTAGTTGCTCAGCAACTCTATTGAAGTACTCAGTACAATAATTTTCAGACCGATGAGAACACGTTATGGTTTTAACGGACCAGGGAGTTTTGTTTAAATAACAACTCCCTGAACGGACCATGAATTTTTATGACTGAAAATTAGAACCAGCTACAATAATGATTGCGTTTTCCGTAAAATTCACAGTTACAGTACTGTAATAAAATAGAAGTCCATTGAAATAAAACTTACTAAATAAAACAAGTTCGCATAGCTAGAGGGGGCTATTACAATTCCAAGGAATACGTCGTTATCAAAACAGGTAATCATCATCATCCCTGAATGTGCATAAACCTCGTATGAGTATATTCGCACAGCGTTGGTGGTCAGTTATTATTAACGGATGTGAATATCAGATACCCTGTCTTTGAACGTGTCGATAGATGGTGAATCAACAACATGTTGAGGATAGGCTATCTCGGTATTATAAATTCTGATGTCCAACTCAGCGTTTTCGTA